GGGGGGGGGGCGATAAGATAGGAATGAGCAGGAAGCAGGAAGTAGCAGGTGTGGCCGGCAATAATGCGACAACAGTAGTGGGATGAATGGTGGGATTGAGACAACCCAAAGGCGAGAGAGCAAGCGAGAATTAAAAAGACGACGGCAGATCAAACACGAGCCGCCGAGGCACCAACCGACTCTGTTCAGTCTTCGGGCCACCAACTGCCAGGTAAGGTAAGGCGAGGCAAGGCAGAGCATGGCATGGATGGTAGGTCAATATGTACCTCAGACGAGACCATACGCGGCGCGGCGCAGGCCTTAGGGAGTGGCGGACGGGGCGGAGTTCCAATCAACCCCTCCTAGGGACCGTTGATGCACTTGATGCAGGAAAACACACTCTTTCGAGGACGCTTGGTTCCGAACCGACTTGGCGGGCTGTTATCAATCAAAACGACGTTGGCCATGAGCTCGAGCGTGTCCTGTCGTGGAATGACGAGACTACGTGGGGGGAAAGGGAGCAGCAATTGGAAGGGGAATGCAGGCAATTCTGTGGCTTGCAGGAGACCACTAGAAGAATGGACAATCGATGGCCAGGCCATGCTGTCAGTCATTGGAAGGAAAGGGGGGGAAAAAAAGAGAAAAGATGCAATCCTGTCTTGCGCTCTGCATTCTGCACCCTGAGGTGCTGCATGCATGCAGTCGACCTTGTTGGGAAGTCTTGCGTGTGTGTGTGTGTGTGTGTGTGCTGTACCATGTATGCCCAGGTACTAAGCGTGCGTCAGTGTAGCTCCATCGTTCCAGCACCTTAGCGTCCTCAACTGCAGCAGTCCTCCGGCGGCCTTCAGTGGGACGGCGACGACCCACCGGCTGCTTCTGGCGGCTGCGGGTGGCCCTACAGCCGGAGGCCCTACAGCCGGATAGCGCCCCAGCGCATGTCCAGGCCCTCCACTCGGCCTCCCTGTGGGTGAGGTAGGTGGGTAGCGAGCTGCCTAGCCTGTGGGCTGTGGCTGAAGTTCACTGTTACTGTCACATGTGAAATCGCCTCGTTCTCCGACTGTAGGTGGAGCGAGCGCCTTGGTCTTTGAAGCCGAAGTTTTTCCTCGATAAGAATGGAGAGCTTTATCTCCATGTGACCTGCACCATGGCCCGTGCCACGACGCGCTTCACTTCCTCTTGTCATTGGCGACGTGCCTAGGCCTTGTAGCCCAAAGAAGGGCTCATCTTCAACAGCTTGGGATATTGTCCATCACCACATCTCATCACAGGCCGCCAGCTGTCGACTCGCATCATCTTCAAAGTATCGCTTTCTATATCCGCCTCGAGACATACTCTTTCTTCATGAGATAGCGTCATGGCGTATGAACCCCGTGGGGATTACTCCCGTCGAGGAGGTCCCGACGGTGATGATCTCCATCAGCCGAGAGCCGTGAGAGGCCGCCGTAGGTATCCCTCATGATGAAGAATCTCAAGATCCCAGCTTACATGGTCCAGGCCCCGTTACTGACTATGGCGCAACCGTCTCTCAGTGGATGCGCGACCGCAATCCCGGCACGGGCTTCTTCTCAAATGAGGAGGCTGAGAAGCCCTCTGCCAGCTACATCTCCGACGTAAGAAACCGTCCATCCGTTTCGCGATCCTGTCTCATACTTTCCAGTTCCATCCACCAGCAACCACGACGGGTGACCTGCATGATGCCCTGCCCGTGAAGCACCTTCATTCCTCTCTTAACAAGATCAAGCACCCCGTCAACGTCGTTCGATGGACGCCCGAGGGCCGTCGCCTGTTGACCGCCTCGAGCAGTGGCGAGTTCACCCTCTGGAACGGCACCGGCTTCAACTTTGAGACCATCATGCAGGCGCACGATTCTGCCATCCGCACTCTCGCCTACTCGCACAACAACGACTGGCTCCTTTCGGCTGACCACGACGGCATCGTCAAGTACTGGCAACCAAACTTTAACAATTTGCAGAGTATCACGGCGCACAACGATCCTATTCGAGACCTCGCATTCGCGCCAAACGACTCGAAATTCGTCACCGCGTGCGACGACTCGTCACTCAAGATTTTCGACTTTGCCGGAGGTGTGGAGGAATCTGTGCTCAAGGGCCACGGCTGGGACGCCAAGAGCTGCGACTGGCACCCCTACAAGGGTCTTCTGGTGTCTGGTTCCAAGGACCACTTGGTCAAGCTGTGGGACCCCAGGACAGGCCGCTGCCTGACGACATTGCACGGTCACAAGAACACCATCACCAAGACTCTCTTCGAGAAGGTCCAGGGCGACTGCCTCGCCACATCTGCTCGGGATCAGACCGCCCGCGTCTTCGACCTGCGCATGATGCGCGATGTGTGTCTGCTCAAGGGACATGAGAAGGACATCTCGACCCTGACCTGGCACCCCCAGCACGCCAACCTCCTCACGACAGGCGGCCACGACGGCTCGCTCCACCACTACATCACCGATCAACCCAACACACCGCCCGGCCAGAATGCCGGCATCGCCCCCTACGACACGACAGACCCGTCCGGCACGACTGCCCAGACGATATACCCGTCGCACAAGGTCCCCTTCGCCCATGATTTCGCCATTTGGTCACTCGACTGGCATCCCCTCGGCCACATTCTCGCATCCGGCTCCAACGACAGGATTACCCGCTTCTGGTCCCGCTCCAGGCCAGGTGACAAGGACGTCCTCCAGGACAGGTATCACATCGGCGAGGCCGCCGCCGAAGCACAGGGAACCTGGGACCGCCGCGGCATGCGTCGCCAGCGCCAGGAGGAAGAGGAGCAGGAGATGGAGGACGAAGCCGAGGGTCTTGTCGACCAGAAGATGCCTCTCAAGCAGGCCGCCGTCCCAGGCTTCCCAGGTCTCCCCGGTCTCCCCGGTCTCCCCGGTCTCCCCGGTCTGCCCGGCCTCCCAGGTCTCGCAGGCCTACCCGGCCTCCCGCAGCCCAACGGCACGCACCCTGTGCCACCGCCCCCCATGATCCCCGGCGTCGGCGGCGCGGCCCCGCCCCCTCTCCCCTTCCCCCTCCCCGGCCTCCACGGTGCACCGCCGCTCCCGCTCCCAGGCGGCATCGATCCCAGCAACCCAGCCGACCTCGCCAAGATTGCCGAGATGATCCAGAAGGCAGGCGGCACCCTCCCCCCTCCTCCACCAGGCGGTTTCCCGCCACCACTGCCCGGCAGCATGATTCCTCCGCCGGGCTTCATGCCGCCGCCGGGCATGCCGCACGGCTTCCCGCCGCCGCCGCCGCCCGTGCCCGGTCTCGGCGGGCCCCCGCCTCTTCCCAACTTTGGGGCTCCCGGCGGCGGCAGCCTCGAGGACGAAGCTGCTCTCGCGCGGAGACGGGCGCCGCTGCCCAGTCAGGAGGACAGCCTCAAGGCGGAGCAGCGGAGAGGGCACTACACGCGCGCGAGGTGACCGGGGCGTTGACGCGCGTGGTGGTGGGGCGCCGTGGAGAAGCATGTACAACAGTGAGGTGCCACGCCGTGCTGGATGAGTCCAGGGCGCGTAGGAGAAGGGGGTACGTAGAAAATCGGGTAGATACCCAATGGCGTTTTTGGACGGCGACGCGCAGGACAGAACCCGGCCATGGAAGCTCTTTATTTATTCATGTCGTGTTCCTTCGTTCGACGGTGGTGATCTGTCACAAGCATGGTGATGCAGTTCGATGTAGTATGTCATGTTGCCCTTGGGTTTCTATCTAGGGGGGTGCGGGGGGGGCATATGCTACTGTGTTTGGGGGGATCGGAGGGAAGCCCCGTGCCGATCGTCCCATGCTCGCGCCGTGTTTCTACAAAAAAAGGTATGCGTACAATGCCATGTAGAAAATGATCCGGTGCACCATGAAGGCCGTGAAGAGTCGTCCGTGTTCCCTTCTCTCTCTTTCTCTCTCTCTCTCTCTCTCTCTCTCTCTCTCTCTCTCTCTCTCTCTCTCTACACGACAAGATCCTATAGTACAAAATAAACAAACAGACCCGTCGACCTCGCGCCTACGACCGCGGCGCTCCCTTGCCGCCGAGCTGCTTCTGCCTGTCGCTGTAGTCCTTGACGACAATGGCGCAGCTGGCGTCGGCGCACAGGCGCCTGCGGCGCTGGACGGGCAGCTTGGGAGCGAACTCGAGGCCGGTGGCGCGCTCGACGGCCTCGAGGGGCATCTCAAAGTCGGCGAGGGGCTTGTCGTTGGGGATGGGGGCGTTGGGCAGGACAAAGGCGCCGACGGCGACGTTGCCGCCGGGCCTGCCGTCCTCGGCGAGGATGACCTTGTAAAAGTGGGTGGGGACGGCGACGCTCGGGGGGCTGCCGATGACCTCGTAGCGCGTGTACCACTTGCCGTCGACGGGGTCGCGCTTGGGCAGGTAGAGGGGCCCCGTGGCGACGCGGACGCTGGGGTAGCGCTGGGTGAGGCGGCGGCAGAAGTCCTCAAAGTGGGCCCAGTAGTCGCGGTTGAAGCCGTCGCCGACCTGGGGGCACATGTTGGTGAGGTAGAACGTGTCGTCCATGGCCGCCTGGGACCACTTTGCGTCGGCGGCGGGGACCTGGTGGCCGCGGTCGTAGCCCGAGCGGAAGTAGTCCTTGAGCTTGGCCTGGAACTTGCCGGGCACCTGGGGGTCCTCGAGGAAGACCGAGTGCTTGCGGTCGGCGTCGCGGGCGGCGAGCGAGGCCGGCGTGATGTGCTCGACGACCCAGTGGGGGTTGCGTGTGCGGCGGTCGTAGGCGCTCACGAGGGAGGCGCGCGAGGATATGTCGGCGTGGGGGCCGGGGAAGCCATACTCGAACCAGCCGGCGGGGTCGACAGGCTTGAGGACGGGGAGGTTCGCGTGTGGCCCCGCGGCGGCGGCGGGTGGTGGTGGTGGTGGTGGGTTGGTGAAGATTTGCGAGGCGGGCACAGGCACAGTCGGCGCGGCGGCCAGGTGTGTCGGGACATGGAGGGTGGCCTCGGGCTGCTTGGACGAGCGGAGAGAGTACATGGTTGCGGTGAGAGCGGCGCCACTTCCAGCGCCGAGGGCAGCGACGAGGGCAATGGAGGCGGTTTTCGACATGGTGAAGACGGGGCGGGCGGCGCTGCGTGGGAACAAGGGGGAAATATAGTAAGTAGGCGAGTGGGAAAAAAAGGGAAGAAGTGAGGAGAAGGAAGAAGAGAGAGAGCGGCAACGTCAGGAGCGATGCTCTGATGACTTGGAGGGGGCCACGCGGGGGGAGGTGGGCATGTGGTGAAGGAGGTGTGCGAGGTTGTCTCTGATCGAGCAGATGGCAGATGCAGATGACAAGATGGCAGATGGGACCCCCTTCGAAGGGCCGGACCAAAGTTGGGGTTCTGGCAAATTTTAGGCCGTGTTCCGCCAGGGGATCTTCAGGGACCGTTACAGGGGAGGTTGAGCCTGGGCGCCAGCCGATATTCTGCCGGTCGAGTGTCCGCTACCTTCAGGGCACATTGCTTTAGTACATAGGTACCTGGCTTACGGTACTGCGAGGTAGGCGCCTGAGGTAGGTACCTGGCTTACGGTACTGTGAGGTCGGCGCCTGAGGTAGGTACCTGAGGTAGATACATGTAGGCCTAGGTCAGTCGGCTGCTACGCGCACGAGAGGCTCCACTTGTCCTGCCCGTCATCCTCTGTGGCCCCGCGACTGGGACACCTGCCTGCCTGTCTGTTTGTCTGCCTGCCGGGCGTTGCCCATGCTTGACGCGCTGTGGTACCTGCTACTGTCCCTCAAGGTGCCGTCGAAGACTCGTGGGCTAGGCACCTCATCTCCTGTTGGGTACCCCCACGACATGGGAATGCGAAGCTGCCACTGCACTCCAACTCGGACTGAAAACCAAGCAAACTGAGCGCCGTGGTTCTGTAGATTTGTGTAGATTTGCGTCATACAAATTCACTGTGATTTTCTTACTTTATTTCGCAAGCCGCAGCACGCGTCCAGCATGACAGCAACAGATCAGCTGCTCATACTCGTGACGAGGTCCTTGAAGGTTTGGCCTACGATCGACGCTACCATCACAAGCAATCAGCGGTCTGCAGGGACGGGCCGTGTCGATGAGCAGGCCTGTCCATGCGCGTTTGGGGCATCGTTGGGGCGTTTTGAAAACAGTCTGCCTCTCGGCCTCTGCCTTGGCCTCTCTCTGCCTCTGTCAAGCCAAGACAGCCTCACTGTTTTGATGAGGCGAAAGGGCACAACTGACTAAAGTACCTAGGGTGAACTGGCATGCTGACTCGACAGGCAGGCATGGCATTCTGAAGCAAGATCACGCCCCTTTCAGACGTACCTAGGTAGGCAGGTAAGGTAGTCAGAGGCAGCCAAGAAAACCTCAGGCAGTGGAAGCTTGCGGGGATGGGGACCTTGATGGCCGGGCATGCATGTATGTCGCTGGTGATGGCCCAAAGGCGGTCTGGGTCTGGAGACCGACAGGGTACGTACCACGGCAGCTGGGTACGCTCTTGTCTGACCCCTGCTCCCAAGATGCGAAGCTTAAGTGTCCCGGGTGCCCCCACCTTTCCCCAATTGCGAATCGTCTGCGTCTGCGTCTGCGTCTGTGTCTGCGACTCCTGCTACCAGTGAGTGACGACTGCTTTCTTTCTTCCTCGATCGCCATCCTACCACTGCATTCGGCTCGCTCGACTTGATTCCCTGGCTGCTCTTTGCAACTCGCCATCCTACGGCATCCCTATTCATCACCCCGAGTCCTGTCCTGCAGCACGAGCAGCACCAGCACCTCGCGGCACCACCGTCTGCCCCTCTTCCTCCTCTGGAACTCGAAATCCTCGCCCACCTAACTCCGCATCGCCTCCCCCCCACCAGAGAGCACCAAGTCCCAGGTCAGCAAACTCGCTCCAACTGATTCGTCAGAGTCGACCATCCAGACGTCCAACAGCGCTGCCACAACCACCACCAAAAAAAGCCTTTTTGACCGACTCGGCGACCATCTTTCGCTGCTTCCTCTCCGATCATCCTCAACGTGCCATGCGCTCGGGTCAGCCTCTTTTCAGGAACAGATCGTAAAGAGGCGGGTGGTTGCCCTTGATGTCCGACGCCATGGAGCCTGCGTCTCTGGACAATGACACGCGTGGATGGATCATGTGCCTGGTCAGCGGCATTGGTGGGTGACCCTGTCATAGGCAACGAGCCTCTTGTCTCTTGGCACTTGGCATGCTTCTGTCGTCCTCTGCGCTCTGCTCACAGTCTGACAGCTTGTGTCGTCGGTGCGAGTATCATCTACGTTGACCTGCTCATTTGTCGACTCCCCGGCAAGCGAGATTTTCGCATCCAGGACAGCAATGTCTTCCTCGCGTGCGCTCTCAGCTTGAGCTTCGGTGTCATGGTGCGTCCCTTCGCCTTTTGCGTGCATCCAGCCCCTCCAGCCCCTCCAACCTCCGACACGCCCGCCAAGCATCATGGGAACCGCAAGCTGACTGATCGTCTTCTTCCACAGCAATTCTCCGCGCTCTACAGCATGCTCCCCGAAGCCAAGTCCTATCTCAAAGAAGGCGGTTACTCGGATCAGATTGCCGGCGCCATTCTCATGGGCTGCTTCATCGGCGGCTTTGTCGGCATTCAGGCCGTCTCGCGAGTATTGCACCAATTCATGCCGTCCCACGTTGTCGACTGCGATCACACCCACGACGAGAACGAACACCGCTCCCGAAGCCTCAGTCGCAAAACGTCCTCGCGCGTCAGCGACCGCCATACGCATCACAAGCATGATGCCGACGACGCCGATGGCCATGACCATGGACACCCTCACGGACATGGACACCCTCACGCCAACGGAGCCGCCCACGAGTCGACCCCGCTGCTCAACACGCTGTCCGAGGAAGGCAGTGCCAGGCCTGCATCGGGGAGACGACTGAACACGAGACAGACCATGCCGGCCAGGACGGTGGTGAGAAGCCGCACTCTCACCGTTGATCGTCGACCGTCCATGGCACAGGTCCAGAAACGCGTCATGTCCTTTGTCAAGGACACCAAAAGCAACTGTGACGAAGGAGGGCCCTGCTTCGGCTACACGGATCCCTGCGGACAAGAGTGCTTCAAGCATCTGGGCAGCCGCTCCGCGGCCTCGTCGCGGCATTCCACCGTGGTCCGCCCCTCGACCGGCCACTTTCCTCCAAGCTCGAGCGGACCGCACAGTCGCGAACGGGAAGAAGACGTCGAATCGATAGGGTCTCCTGCCAGCCCGCGACACCCCAGGAGCCGCACGGCGTCTCGCGAACCCCTGAACGGGAACCTCGAGGAGGCTGACACCGAGGTGCAGAGTGAGGACTGCTCCTCTATGGAGGAAGATGTCGAGGCGCAGCACCATCACCACGTCCCTACCAATGCGTTTCTCTCGCTCGGCCTGCAGACCTCTATTGCCATCGCCCTGCACAAGTTTCCTGAGGGTTTCATCACCTACGCCACCAACCACGCGAACCCGAGCCTGGGCTTCAGCGTCTTCATGGCTCTTTTCGTTCACAACATCAGTGAGGGTTTCGCCATGGCCCTCCCGCTCTACATGGCTCTTGGGTCCCGTCTTCGGGCTCTGCTATGGTCCTCCCTCCTCGGCGGTCTCTCGCAGCCCCTAGGCGCTGCCATTGCCGTGCTCTGGTTTCGCATTGCCAACCACACCCACATGGCTCCCAGCGCTGTCGCCTACGCATGCATGTTCGCCGTCACCGCGGGCATCATGGTCAGCGTGGCGCTGCAGCTTTTCGTCGAGGCGCTCTGCCTCGACCACAACCGCAACCTCTGCATCTTCTTCGGCTTTCTGGGCATGGCGCTGCTCGGCGTCAGCAGCGCGATTGCATCGGCGCATTGAGAGGCGATACACGAGTCTCGGCGGGTCACTGCATCTCACAACTTGCGTTTAGGTATAAGGCGTTACCAGGCTGTCCTCATTGGTGTTGGCTGTTTGAGTATGGATTGCTGGGGGGGGGGGGGCGTGCTTGCTGTTTGGGCGCACTGGGAATGAGTCTTTCCGGCATATATACATATAGAGTCATGTTGAGCCCGCAGCTCAGCTGGGCATACCACTCTCGTGTTCTTCCGTGACTGGTTCGATGAGGTTTGATGTACTTGCTGGTTAGGCTCTTCATTTCATGCACGCAGTGAGGGGCAACTTGAAGACGGTCGTTCCCTTCGCAAGCCGAGTTCGATTTGTGTACACGGAGACTGGAGAGAAATGTCCCGTGTCAATTGGTTGTCTTGACATGTACTCTAATGTTGTGGCTCATGGCCGGGTATCCCTACAGCTCATAACGTCATGCCCCTTTATTTTGGTCCAGCCTCTTCGTCGTAATTCCGTCATGCCCACAGCGCTCCACACAAGGTACAAACACGCGCGCGCACACCTCACTCCATGGCGAACATGCCCTCCCCGAGCGCCGGGTCAATGAAGCGGCTGAAGTCCTCGTCAATCAGCGCCCGCATCGCCGCCTCGTCATGCTGCCACGTCACGTCCTGCTGGCCGGCGGTCCCCGGCACGGCCGCCGCGTCGAGCCCAAACGCGTCGCCGGCGCCGATCCAAAAGTCGTCGTCCTGCGGCACGCGGATGACGGGGTCCGCCTCGTCGCGGTAGACGATCTCCTGGCTGACGCCGAGGAAGGGCAGCTCGGGCATGGGGCGGTCGGCGACATCGTCCTGCTGCTGCGGGTGGGCCGTCGCGGACGTGTCATCGGCCGAGGCCTCGGTGCCGAGGCGGAGGACTTCGGCCTCGATCGGCGAGGGCGGGTGGTGTGCGAGGTGGAGGTCGAGGTCGTGGGCGCGGAAGAAGCGCTCGGCGCAGTGGGGCATGGTGCAGGCGATGGGGCGGTCGGTGCCGGCGACCTGGTCCATGACGGTCGTGGTCGTGCGCCTGCGCTTCTGGTGTGCGGCGGCGGTGCCGGCGCCGTCGTCGTCGCGGTCGGCGAGGGGCGCGGGGACGGGCCGCTCGATGCCGAGGTGGACGTGGCGGATGTGGGCCTCGAGGTTGCCCTTGGTCACAAAGGCCGTGCCGCACCCCTGCTCGCGCGGCCAGGCGGCGAGGTCGGCGGTCGTGGCGTGCTCGGCCTGGCCGCAGACGAAGCGGAGGCCCTCGTGGGCGGAGCGGACGTGGGCGTTGAGGTTGCTCTTCTTGGTAAACTTTTTGTCGCAGCCGGGCCAGGCGCAGGGGATCGTCTTGCGGGCCTCAAGCGGGATGCCCGAGTGGTAGAGCTCGACGTGGCGCTCGAGCTCGGCCTGCCCCTTGCACTTTTGGTCACAGAAGATGCAGTTGAGGTGCTCCTTGCGGATGTGCGTCTGGAGGAGCAGCAGGCTCGTGAAGCCCACCCGGCGCGGGGGCCGGTCGCCGCTGGGGTCGGCCTCGAGCTCGCACTCGTCGCACCAGAAGCACGGCTCGCTGTGGTCGCGCTTGGTGTGGTTGCGCAGGGCGCCCTGCGAGTCGAAGCCGGCGTGGCACCCCTGCTCGGGGCAGAGGTAGGCGGGGCCGCCCTGATGCTCGGCGCGAATGTGACGCTGTAGTGTGTTGTGCTTGCGGAAGCTCTGGTCGCATGGTGGGTAGTCGCGGCAGCGGAAGCGGTTCTGGCCGGCGTGGACTTCCTGATGACGGCGCAGGCGGGTGGCGGTCAGGAAGGACTTGCCGCAATCCTCGGTGGTGCACACGTAGGAACGCTCCTGGCTGTGGGAGCCCTTGACGTGCTGTCGCAAATGCTTTTCCTCGCGATACGTCTTGTCACACCCATCGTGGGTACACTTGTAGGGGCGGTCGTCGGTATGCGAGCGCAGGTGAGCGGCGAGGCGGGCAGGCCGGTTAAAGGTCTTTTCGCAGTCGGGATATGTGCACTTGATCGTCTTAAAGTCGGAGGGAAATTTGCGAGAGCGATTGGACAATGCAGTTGTGGCCGTGCAGACCGTCTCTGGCTTGGCCGTATCGGCCGAGTAGCTCGTGGTATCGTCATAATCTTCATCGTCTAACTGGGCTGAAAGGTTGGTCAGTGGGTGGGAAGCCGGTATGGAGGGGTACAATAGAGCTGAACAAACCCATGGGGTCGAGGGGCTCGACGACCAGTTTCTTGGCTATCACAGCCTCGGCTTCTTCAGCTGCCTTGCGCTTCGACATCTTGTCCTTTGCCTACAATCGGTGCTGCTTCATGGACAAAATGTCAGAGACTGGTCAATGGAAGCTCTAAGTGCAAGCAGCGGCAGGAACACTGGCCTGGGCATGGGAGAAAATTCGCGGCAGAAACAGGCGGTGACGGTCACTTTTTGCGCGTTGTGGGGCTGGGAAAGGGTTCAGCGGGGGCTTGTGGGACCTCGCCAGACGATCAAAAGCTCTAGTCCTGTTTGGGTTGGTCGTGCCGTCAAGTCAGGTGACATGGCTCTCGACCGTTGACTGCATGTCAATTCACACGGTGTGTTGGTGCAAGGCTGCAACACCCTCGACTGACACCATCCTGATGAGGAACCCCGGCCCTTTGCGGGACAAGCGAGAGAGCGCCTGCAGCTCTTCACCAGATCCGCGGTTGGAGAAGGAAGACCAAATCGTCAGGACGCTTTCCAAGAATTGACGGGCAGCCAGAGGAAATCAACCGTCCCGCGTGTCATTCGACACCCATCTTCGTCATGAGCGTGGACAGGAAACTCGTGATGGAGCAGTTTCGAGCCCTTGGGGCCCCCAACTCGTCCGGCCTCACCTGTAGGGGCCCAGGGGCTCATAATCTGCAGTCCGGATTGGACTAGATTACCCAGCCTTCTCAAATCGTTCGCACCCGAAGGCCTCCAGCTGCCAAGTTGGCCGTAAGGCGTATTCCCAGACACCCCCCGGTTCCCATACGCCTTGACTCGGCGCCTACGCTGAGCTCATAAGGAGCGTCTCTGTCCCCTCACTCTATTTTCGCAACGTGTGCCCTGTATACTAACCTAGCTTCCTCATACAGCATGTCGATTTGCCTACCTGCCCAATCCACCATGTCATCTGTGGCAGGAACACCACCCCCGCAGGCTAGAAAGACCCCTACAAGAGGGAAGAAGAACTCGGATCCTTTATACGCGATGAAAGAACAGACAACGATGACCGGACATATTCCAATGGGCAACGAGACAGCACCTTACGGTACCCCAACACCGCCATCTACGCCACCGCAAGCAGCCAAATCAACATCGATAAAAAGACGAGTTGAAGCCGCTGGCTCCCAAGCGCCACTGACTCCTGCCAACTTGCATGCCTCGGGCGAGACTCTGCAGCCTTCAAGGCCCCCTTTACCCCAGGAAACACAGTCAGCACCAATCGTCTTACAGCACGACACGAACAAAAGCTCCGATGGGAAGGCTCCTGGAAATTCATCACCGTACCAAATTGACGCCAGTATAGGAGACTTTCTCAAGTCTCCCACTATAGGAAGAGGATCATCAGATGCCGAGAAAGTGGGACACATTTATGTATGTCCTGTCGTCAAGTGCGGCCACCACAAGCTTCTGTTCAAGATCGGGATAGCTAGCAACTCTGTTCAAGCGCGTTTGAACGATATTAGCAAAGTGTGCGAAAGAGGAAAGCTGGAGCCTCTCAACGCCCACCAACGACCTATCCGGCAATACAAGCGGGCAGAGAGGCTGATCCATGCCGAGCTTCGAAACTTCAGGGCCGAATTTGAGTGCAACTGCGGTTCCGACCACAGGGAATACTTCGATATCGACAAGCACGTCGCACTCGAGGTGACTCATCGCTGGGCTGTTCTTTGCGAAGCAAACCCGTGGGACCGGAACCACAAGTTACAAAGCTACTGGGAGCACCGCTTGAACAGGCGGTCACAGTGCGACGAGACCGAAACCGTGCATGATCACGAGCAGCGGGCGAAACGCTGGAGAGAATTCATCAATCCAAAGCCCTGGGATATAGCTGTCTACAATGTCGTATCGGCAGCGACGTCATTCATGCCATGGAGGTGGCATTGGGTGGCCCTGCTGCAGGGCCTTTATCTGTCCTATGTCACATTCCCGGACCCCGTCTCCGTTCTGTCCTTAGTTTCCTTGGTCGTGTGGATGACCATGGAGAGAGATCTCAAGGGAACACCTTTTTTCTGGGAAACTACCAGGACCATTGACGAAAACTTGTTTCCAACTCCCAAAGCCAAACAGACGTCAGCTGATGCTACAAGCAACGACAAGGTAAGTGCGAATCCATCACCTCTGGGGGCGAAGATGCGTTGTCGACGCTGGCAGCTGACTGATTGCTGGCTAGGAGGAGGAGGAGCTCCAGCGTGATCCGGTCGAAGAGACTCGAGATCACGATGCTGAGATGCGAGATCACGATGCTGAGATGCGAGATCACGATACTGAGATGCGAGATGCAGAATCATCAGACACGTCAGAGATTCAGGTGACCACGCCGAGTCGCAAACGCTCTCAGCAACCTTCTTGAAAAAGCGTGGCAATGACACTGTTATCGTAGTGGCAGCGGCAAGTCAGTCATGGCTTGAGCTAGTTCGAAGCTTTTGTTGGCATCTTATTCTGTACAGTCTGGTATTTTCGCGCTGTTTTCGTGTCGACGTCTGATGAAGAGGATTGTATTTATGAAATTATGATCTTTGTGGCAACTTTTTCTTTGACGCCATTTAGAAATCTACAACTCAGCTTCCTGTTCATTGGTCTGACTATTTCGAGCCGGCCCTCACACAGAATCACTTGGATGTGGAGGCACCTGCTGTTGGGCGTCAGTGTTACCGGCGAATAGGATCAATTGTAACTGAAACCCCCAGAGTGTGTTGAGCTGCCATACTGGAAAGTTATGAGCACGAGTGTGTAGTCTCCCGGAGCATTGACTAGGCTCTGTTCTACTGATACTCGTGGCCGCCTTGTAGAAACACTCCATGTATCTGAGCGGGTGACAAGCTGTGCCAGTATACAGATGAAGTTCGGAGACGTTTCTGAGTTCAATGAAAGCGACAGTCATTCTGCGTCTGCCCGAAACATCGGTTTCTTCACGGTGGCGCGAGAATCACTATCGCCAGAGCTTAGGTGGCGGGCCAGGACTTCCCAGGGCAGTGAGGGAGGCACTCTAGCCACATACAGCCTCAAGCCGCAGGAAGAGTCTCTCACATGACTGCTCATCAGCTGAGAGGCTATAAGTATGTGTGCCCAACCCCATCTCGTGGTAATTTTTGGGTTGGCAGGTTGCGCAAACAACCAAAGAGAGTAACATTCCCACAAGTGTCTTTAAATGGCGGAAGTTATTGCCACGGTGGGAGTTGCTTTAGGCGCCATCAGGGTGGTAAAAGGCAGCTTCGCTCGCCTGTCCCGAGTGTATCGCAGGAACGGCGTGCTCACGACACTGTTGTTCACTGTGCTCCCTGACGCGTCGTCGACCCTCGACCGCATCGAGACAATCCTATCGGGAACAGGACCAGAGATATCGGAGTATCGGCAGTCGCTGAGCTCCAATATGAACATGGCCGCGGTGGCTGTAAGCACCCCCGTCAGCTGATGGTTGGATGAAGTAAGCTAATTCCAACCACTAATTTCCAGGGCGCCATTATTGCGCAGGTAGCCATCACGGGGTTGTCCTTGGAGGCCAGAAGCCAAGCGCACTGGACTGCCTCGGCCTTCCTTACTGCGAGCATCGCTTTCGGCGTCATATCCGTCTACGTCAGTTTCATAGTCCAGCAGGAGCTTAACGGCCTCCTGGGATCGACCGGCGTTGCAGATTGGCTCTCCGTACCACTCACTCAAGCAGAGCTACAAGAGAAAGCCAACAAGCTATATCGAGACCCAGTATTGAACGACACGGAGTTGTCTATGCCGCTTGAGCGAGAGTTCCAACCCGAGAACGGCGCAGCCAGGCCGGGTCTGACCCGGGAGGCCTCAGCACTGGCTGCCATCTTACTCTCGGCTCCATCGGGCCTCCTCGTACTATCCTTGAACGCGTTTGTCATTGGTTTGGGTATCTATCTGGGCTGCGCATATACCGACAACCTGATATCCGACCTTGGCAAAGGCGGTTCACTAGGAGTACTTGTGTTTTATATTGTTGCGTCCGCGACGGCCACCTTTCTTTACACGTTTCCTCAGATTGTCAAGTCGTCCGAAAAGTATGACGATCAAATGGTCACAAGCTTGAGGAGGCAGATTGAGCTTTTGGACAGCATCTTGAGCGATCGACAATCGAGCGATCATCAACGTAGGCAGGGCGTTTAGGGGGTACTGAGATTCTGTGCTGTGGATCTCCACATGCCCCATGCCCCTCATGCCTTGCCTTGTGCGAGTTTGCGAGGTCAAGTTTTCAGGTACAGACTCAAGTCACTGTAAGTGAGCAGATGTGGTTAAGAATAGGTGTAGTGGATTGCGTCGCGGGCATCCTTTTGCCAGGTTATAACAATCTCGAGTGAGCAGACGAGGGTGGTAGTTCAATGATAGTAGGGACCATGGCAGTAGCTTTCTTAACGAAGTACGCTTTCCGATGGCGTCAACCAGCCTTATCGTTCAGCAGCTGTGACACCGGCAAAACCCCGGCCCAGATGGGCCCCACGCTAAGGTAGGTCCTTCGGAAAACAAAGGCAACTGCGGGAACCCCTGCAGCGCAGCCTCGCATTCAATATTTTTTCACGACTCCATTGATCAAGCCTTCCCTATCGCGACCGATTTACGACAAAGCACGTCCAACTCACCCACGCGCGCCAAACACCCCCACCAACTCACCTCCAAAATGTCTGACATGGGCGATGACCACGATATGGGGGCGCAGTACGTCTAGCCCCTCTAAGCCATCGCGTCTCTCACGACAGGGCGACATTAAACTAACCCAACGTGCAGCGAGGACGCCTTCGATGACGACGAGGCATTCGACTACGACGAGTTCCCCGAAGAAGACGAGAAGAAGGATGACGAAGAGGATGGCGAGGACAACGTCATTAACGCCGGCGACCCGTCAGCGGCCGCCGCTGCCACCAAGAACAGCACCCTCTCGCACAAGGACATGAAGATCCCCGACGACCAGCGGACCACGACGCCCTACATGACAAAGTACGAGAAGGCCCGTATTCTCGGCACGCGGGCGCTGCAGATCAGGTAGGCCACGAACCTCCAGGACCTATGCACAACGGGAGCGCCTCGGACTGACCGCAGGCCTTGACAGCATGAACGCGCCGGTGCTGGTTGATCTCGAGGGCGAGACGGATCCTCTGCAGATTGCGATCAAGGAGCTCCGCGAGAAGAAGATCCCTCTGATCGTGCGCCGGTACATGCCGGACGGATAGTGAGCCTTCCCTCTGGTGTTCGCCAGACGCTAGTTTTGCTGACTCCTTTCCCCCAGCTACGAGGATTGGACTTGCGAAGAGCTGCTCCAGTGAGCAACAGGCTCGATACATACATGTGGGATGGCAGGCAAGGGACCAGCTCGGGGGGGTTAGCATACGCCCAGTCTCCTACCGCAGGTGCATCAGACGCAGGGTAGCTCGAACTACGTTGCGGTCTGCTGAGGCGACTTCCCAGGGACGACGGTGCCGTCATGTGAATTTAGCGCGGCGTTTCAGGATAAAAAGACTCGATTTCCAACAGCCGGTAGTGCCTGGTGCGTCGCTCGAGCAGTCAGCTTCCTGGCTGTGGACTTTCAGGTTTGTCCAGGTTGCATCTTTGCGGGGTGCAGAGCCCAGGCAAACACACACGGCGCGCACGGCCAGAGTCAAGGGTCAAGTATGAATATGGTCAGCATTTCATCAGCGCCAGCATACGTCCTAGGGCGCTTGGTGACAAACAGGACTCAAGCTTGTGCAGACTAGAGGGCAGGCAAGCATGCGTCGCCTGTCACAGCGGAGCTCTCACACCCAAGGCCGTGTTTGACCATCAACAGTAGTCGACTGCAACTAACCAAAACCATGGCATGCACGCAATTATCATGAACAAACCTGTGAGAGAGTTCGACTGAAGTTGACCGGCTTGGTCGCGGATGGCATGCTATTTGGTTTTTGTCACCTCAAACACTACGCAGTCTTGATCCAAGAGATGCAGACTGGCGGTGCCCGGAATGATACCTGTTTAGAAATAGCCCGAATAGCAGATCCTGGGTTTCGGCGTTGATAGCAATCAAACTTACTACTACATGTCGTCCGAGGCAGCGGCACCGAGAGAACGCCCCTGCAGTCACAAAGTCTTTTCGCATGAAACAGCATTGCAACATTCATTTCGGCAGTTGTATTACTACACACACACAAGATGTCCTGGGCTGGTTCGGGATGGGACAGTCGATCCTTGGGCTGCGCTCACCTGCTCCCCTCCTCCAAAACAGACCTTGTGTGTGATTCCCAGCGCTCACGCCTTGGTTGGACTAATAGTCGTAAAAGACTATGAAGTGATTCTGATCAAATGAACACTGTCGTTCCGTGCGCTCGGAACCGGGTTGTGGCAGAACAAATACCAATTGCCGGCCTGGCCCGTCACAATGACGCTTCGGGCTTGCGAGTGCGGGGTGTTGGAGCTCCATGGTGGGGTTATTGAGCTCCCCCGATGATGCGCCCAGCAAACAGCCCTGGAGATATCTCGGTCTTGCTCCGGAGTCTACAGCCTCTCTCCTCCTACATCTCCCCTCCCACGACCATTCGAGTTGGTTCTTCAGTTCTTGATTCTGTTCCAGAGACCCTCTCGAGCAACCGAAGCGCACAGTACTGTCATCGTCACACGTCTCCTCTCAGCAACCGCAATCATGGCATTCACCACCAAGGCGACCATCGCCTCCTTTGGCGGCCAGCTCCTCAAGCTCTCCCACGCCTCGAGCACCACGAAGACCGACATGGCCTTGAACCTCTACCTGCCGCCCTCGTCCTCCAAGTCGCCCGCGCCCCTGCTCATCTACCTCTCCGGCCTGACCTGCACGCCCGACAACGCCACCGAGAAGTCCTTCATCCAGTCCACCGCCGCGGCGTGGGGCATCGCCGTCCTCCTGCCCGACACGTCGCCCCGCGGCCTCGACATTGCCGGCGCCAACGACGCCTACGACTTTGGCGAGGCGGCCTCCTTCTACATCGACGCCCAGAAGGCGCCCTACGCCGACAACTACAAGATGGAGACGTACCTCGTCCGCGAGCTGCCGGGCCTCCTCGAGAGGGACTTTGCCGACAGGATCGACTTCAAGCGGGTCTCCATCACGGGCCACTCCATGGGCGGCCACGGCGCCCTGACCCTGTACCTCAAGCACCCGGGCCTGTACAAGAGCGTCAGCGCCTTTGCGCCCATTGCCAACCCGACCAAGTGCCCCTGGGGCGAGAAGGCGTTCAAGGGCTACCTCGGCGACGACGTCGAGGAGTGGAAGAAGCACGATGCCACCGAGCTCGTCAAGGGCTGGAAGGGCCCACTGAATGCCCTCATTGATGTTGTCAGTAGCCCCTGCTCGCCCCGTCTGGGTTTCGTTTCTTCCCTCGAGAGTCAAGACGACAGTACGCTGACCTTGCGCAGGGCACGGGCGACAACTTTTACAAGCAGGGCCAGCTCCTCCCGGAGAACTTTGAGGCCGCCGTCAAGGAGGCGGGTCTGTCCGGTCTGGAGCTGCGCTACCAAAAGGTGAGCGCCGCGCGTCAAATGTCCCCTCATGCGAATCTGCAGCTGACGGTCCCAGGACTACGACCACTCATACTTCTTCATGGCCTCTTTCCAGCACGACCACGTTAACCACGCCGCCAAGTTCCTCGGCGTGTAGCCGTCAACGAGGGAGGAGTGAGTAGTCAGACAAGCAGAGCAGCCAAAAAAAAGGATAAATTCTAGCGACACGCCAGGGAAGCCAACGCAGTGTCTTGGTATGGGATGCGCGCAATGCAATGTGCTAGTGATGAGCTCCAAGGTGGTATCTCTTCATGCCTTCGTTCCGTCCCGTGCCATCCCGTTTCCTCCTCCCATCATGAAACTCGTGGAAATATGCCTCCCATGATCCGACCAGAAAACTCGCCAAGAGAAAGAAAACGACCACCCCTGGAATGGGTTCTCTAGACATTCAGGAAGCTGTCAGCCCGAGAGAGCGTCGCATCCGCAACGACGACTCTGTGGATGACGACTCTCTCGTGGTGGCGGCTGACGACGCCCTGGACCGTGACCCGGTGGTGGATGAACCCCTGGACAGCGCCTAGCTAATCCGCCTCTCCAGCTCCGGACTCAGCCCCTCCTTCTCCAGCTTTGTGCGCATGTCGGCGTCCGTCTCGCGACGGATGCGCATGTACGCCAGCTTCTCGAACCTGCTGAGGCCCTTCCACCAGTGCTGCCCGGCCTCATGTTCGCCAATGCGCTCCAACAGGTCCGCCGTCCGTGTGCGCACTTCGCGGTCCTTGTGGAAGAGGCCCAATGCGAGGTAGAACAAGCCAGCGTGTGACTCGGGTGCCACACTGAGGAAGAGGCAGATCTCGTCGTAAGAGAAAATGTACTTGGAAAAGGCAATGTAGATTTCTCTGCTCTGCGCCGGGTTGAGGCGCTGCGTTCGTAGACGATCGTGCATGTGATGCAGGTCCAGACCCTTGAGCGGGCGGATTGTGTATATTTGTGCGAGGTCCTGCGTTTCCGTGTCAGTCAAATCCAGCAGCATGGTGTTCAGTGACCTTACCTGGATGAAGCTGTAGTAGCTCCGTGTGTTCCGCCATCCCTCGATCCTCGTCACGTTGCCTGCGAGCTCCTTCTGTCTCGACGGCTCGTCTACCCACACGTAGCCGTGCCCATTAACCCCCGTGGAGCCCATGTCTAAGTCATCGCCACCGATATATAGGGCACTAGCACCATATACGCCCTCCTCAAAGGCGGCTGCGATTCGTGTGAACTTGATTACCCAATCGCGCCATTTTGCGCGGATGACCCGTTCACCACGCCGCGCGGCAATGCTCTTTAAAATGTCCTGCATAAACGCCTGATCACCTGTTAAATCTGTCTCGGCAGAGATTCTCGATGTGCCGCCAACAAGCCCGGCGAAGGATGGATTCTGCTGTTGGAAGTATACCATGCCCTCTGTCACCGTCGCGGGCTCAATTTTGCTGCTAATCTTGACCTTACCCGTCGGCAAGTCGCACAGAACATCCCACCACTCGGGGTGCAGCTCGAATGTCGGATTTGTCACGCCGGCGATGAAGCCAGGGACGTTCAACAGATCGTCAATCTTGGTCAAGTCCGTATAAGGGAAAGCGTGTCGGGTGAAGCCCCGTAACGTGCCGCCAGAAGCCAAGGCGCACGCTGCAAGTACAGCTTCGGCCACCTCTCCGGATGGCAAGTTGTGGCCGAGAAAGATGACTCGCTTCTGCGTCAACAAGGCGTTGGCGAGGACGATGATGGGGTGCGTGTTCGGACCATTGGTCGTCAAGTGTGCGTGCAGTGGGAATGGCTGCACTGCTTTGCCATGTGATTCAGAAAACTTTTGGATGAGTTTGATCAAGGAGAAGTCGCCAACGGTCTCTGGCATGACCGCGACTGGGATCTTGATCGGAATCGGGATTCCCTTATACATAACCTTGCTCTCAAATTCGTGTGTGTCTCTTGGTACCGAGTACTTGGCCTGCATCTGGCCCTGGCCCTCAATGTACGCTTTGGTGCCAGCTCTTGAGATGCCCTGCTGTTTTGAGAAGCTGCGATTCACGTCGAACGGCTGGTCGTCGAGCTCTTCGCCCCTGTCCTCAGCGAGGCGCATCTGGATCATCTGCTCAAACTTTTCCACAAACAGATCTTTGTTGTCGCTGGCCAGCAGAAGATGTCTTTCCAACAAGCTGAGCTTGGGCATGAGAGACAGGTCCATCGCATTGACCGCGTCATACAGCATGGACAATGTCTCTGGGACAGGCGATTTGAAGTATTCTTCCAGAGCCAACAGTAATAAAGGCTAAGAAGTTGGTTAGTAAAGCAGACTCGGTCTGGCCTGAGAAGACATGTCCAACCTTGTAAATGTGTAAAAATGGGTGTCGTGTGCAAATCGCCATGGCCTTGACAACAGCGCCTCGCTTGACAGTCTTGTCCTGTTTCGTGTTGACCAGGTTGAGCACGTGGATAAGTGGCGGACCCTCACCACCTTCTGGCTCGCTGTCGGTGGACTCGTCGTCGTCAAAATCGTCTAGGTCGTCATCATCCTCTTCTTCGTCTTCTTCGTCCTCTTCTCCGTCCTCGTCTTCTTCGTCAAGGATTCCTGCAGCCTCATTTTGTCTTCTCCTCCTCCTCTTACGCCTCCTCTCTTTCCTCTTGCGCTCCTCGTCTTCCTCCTCTTGACTCGTATCCTTGTGCAGGAAGAATATGGTCCAGTCCTGGTTGCGCACATGGGCCTGGTCGGGTAACATGAGCTCGGCAAGCATGTGTTCGTCGCCTGTGATCGCCACAGGATATTGATGCTCCATCACTGGGCCCCGGTCAATGTCGAATGATGCCACAAGAATGTACTCGACGTGGTTCTCAGTCGACCCTCTTGGGTACTGCGAGCGCAACTTGCGCGGCGGGTGCGCATCGGGGTTGTAGCGGCGCGGCGCCGAAAGGGATGAGTGCTGGGAAGACAGGCCAGTCGATGGAGTCTTGGACTTGGAGCTGGGGTCCGAAGAGCGGTCTGTCTCTGCGATGGGCGGTTGCGGCGACCGCGAAGGACGCGAGTGATTAGACATTTGCGAGGGAGAGCGCGAGGCGGGAAAGCTGGAGAGAGAGGTTCGACGACTGGGCCAGGGGCCATTGGGTCCATGGGGACCGGGAAATTGTGTATTACTGGGTGCGCGGGTCAGGAAGGGGAGAGCCGCGCTTGTTGAGGCCATCGTATATATCGCCGGCGGTTGTATAAGTGGCCGGACTAGGCTGAGGTGGTGGTGCGCGAGGCGGCAGCGACAGCCATTCGGTTAAAAGCGTTGGCAGCTGTGATTGTTCGTTCGGGCAGAATGTCGATCTGCGACCATGCACAGGGACGTACAATGGCAGCACGACAGGAATGGAGGGGGAGAGCGACGAGCGAAGGCGGGCGCGGTGTCGCAAAGACGTGTTCGGTCGGCGTGTTCCCCCCTTAAAGGTCGGTCCCCGAAGTGGGAAGAGGGGATGTACCGGAAAGTCGGCGAGGAGCCACGCAGTGGATGTGGGTTCGGTTCCTAAATGATCAAGCGGCGGCCAGGATCTTAACGAGGGTTCCAAGAAGACGAGCGTCGAGCGCCGAGCGGTGCTCCCACAAGTGTCAATGCGGCGGAATTCTTGTTAGTGGGATGTACGAAGTGCGCAGGAAGCTCTTGAGGATCTGGGGCGAGACATGGTCCTCTTCGAAGGTGGGCGGGATGTCGAGTTGTCGGCAAAGCAGCAGCAACAAGCACCCTAGGGAGGCCCAAAAGCCCAAAATGCCGGAAACACAGCGTCCTCAAGGGTCGGTCAGGGTCACCTCCTGAGTTGGGACAGGGGTTTCGACACGGAGAATGGTGGGTGCGGTGCGCCGTCGATGGAGTAAAATGGGATGGACGTCTGGTGCTTGTCGGCTGGTCTCGCAAGTCCCCCCCTCCTTTTCCAATCCCCCTCCCCTTTGAGCCCGTCGAGCCCCCCATTTCTGGCCCCCTTTCCCAAGTCACGGCTTGGATTGGCTCGATTGGTTCCCATGGCCCCTGCTTGTCAAGGCTGAAAGCCGCTTAGCGCCTTGTGCGCGCTGGTAGGGTCCAGACATGAAACCAGTCCCGCCCGGCCAATCGAGGAGCCATGTGAGCGCCACAGCAAAGGGGACACCAGCCACGGCCCACTCCACACATGCCGATGGGGAACGAGGCTGTCGTTGTCTGGGGAAGGCGTACCATGTTTACTTTCCGCCAGCCACGATCCACAGCCATCAACATTCGCCGGTCCAAGACGTCAGACAACATCATTCGTGACTTGCATCAACCCTCTCGAACGACAGGCAAAGCAACAAAAAAACAGTACTGTACCGCTCCTGCTCTCGACGGCCTAGCTCCATATTGTGAAGCATTGGCTGTTTGTCATCAAGAATCTGCGGCGTGCTTTCCCCTCCTTGCGTGCTCTTCTTGTCGTCACCGGTCTTGGCAGGAAGTTCCCGATCGACGACCGACAACACAGCACTTGCTCCCTCCCAGAGGAGATCACACACGCGCGCCCACACACTCCACAGCCATGGTATGTTCGGCCCGAGACATCGAATTCGAGCTTCTTTCCCCTGCGAACTGTCCAAGGCCTGACTTTGCCTCGTCTCCATGTGTTAGGCCACGCCTGTCGCCGGTTACAAACCCTCTCCACTGGGATATGGGTCTCCACGCAGCTCTCCATTCCGTCGCCCCGAATCGCCCGCCTCACCTTCCAGCCCATCTTTGAGACAGACAACACCATCAGCATCACCCACGAAAACACCCTATCGCACCAGCCGGTCAAGCTTCGCTGAGCCGCCGACGACGCCCACCCGCACTGCCGACAGTTGGACGCCAAGAGCACTTCCTCAGACTCCACCGCGCGTCGACATGCAGGCATCGCCAAAGGTCGCCACCCGGTCATCGCCTGTCAAGACGACCATGAACGGCAACGCCCTGTCGCAACTGCAGCCAAGCCAGGTGCGAACGCTGCGCGAGGGCTTTGAGATCTTGGACCGGGACAGTGATGGCGTTGTCAACAGGGAGGATGTGGCCGATATGCTGACACAGCTGGGTATGTCGCGCCGGAAGCAGTAATCCTTGTCCGCGAAACTGACTGTCAGGCAGGACTACCCGCGAACGCCTCCGACGTTTCCAAGTTCTTTCCTCCATCAGCTCCACAGACGATGACGATGGCCGTCTTTCTGAATACACTAGCCGCGATGCTGGCAACGCTCTCACCCCAGGCAGAGCTGCTGTCGGCCTTTTCGGCGTTTGACGATGATGATAGCGGTCAGATAGATCTGGCCGAGCTCCGCGACGCTCTCCTCAACACGGCGCCCGAGCCGGGCGAGCGTGCGCTGACGCCGGCAGAGGTCGATCAGGTCATGCTAGGGTTCACCGGGCGAAGGGCATTCAGCCGCAACATGCAAGGCGGACTGGGCAAGCGTGGCGAGGTTTTCCGGTACCAGGAATTCGTCAACTCGGTCATGGGCTCCAATAACGCTACTTCAGAGGCGGCTTCGGCAGAGACGTCTGAGAACTGAGAGGGGGCGATTTCGTTTTGTTTTGTTTGGCGGGCGGCACTGGAGCTGTACCAGCAATCGTGGGATGAAAGCACTCTCCAGGAAGCAGGATTCAGAGAAGCCATCGCCCAAAGGATATGGATATATAAGTAATACGCAGTCATGGTATCGGAGTTTGCAGGGTGCCTTCAAGATTCTGTATTTTGTACAGGTTTTGGTTTGCTGGCAGCTTTCCATGCCGCAATGTGTTGCGCCTCTGTTGGCTTTGCCAAGACTTCTGGCTTGCCAATTTTGCCCCACCATCGATGTTCTTATCGTCTTATCTGCATCCCGTTACCGCGGGGCACCTCCGCAAAATATCGTCGGTTGCACCCCGCCATCGCTCGCTCTAATTGAGACTTATCGAAGACGACTTCGTGCGAAAACGGTCAATTGAAGCATAATCCCCGCCATGAAGGACACATACACTTTCCCCGCCGCGGCTGACTTCCATGTATGTCACCCCTCGGTCCGAATGCGTGCCGCAAGACTGAGCTCGCGCAGGTCCACCTCCGTGATGGCGACATGAGCCGGGCTGTCGTCCCGACGATTCGCGACGGCGGCGTCGACACGGTCTACGTGATGCCGAACCTGATCCCGCCCGTCACCACGGTCGCCCAGGCGCTGGCCTACAAGGAGCGCCTCCAAGCCATCGACAACAGTGTCAATTACCTCATGACGCTCTTCCTCGACGAGAGCATCACGCCCGAGGTCGTCCGCGAGGCCAAGAAGGCTGGCATCGCCGGCATCAAGTCGTACCCCAAGGGCACGACGACCAACTCGTCCGGCGGTGTCGTCAGCTACGAGCCCTACGACGCCACCTTCGCCGCCATGGAGGAGGTCGGCCTCGTCCTCAACATCCACGGCGAGGTGCCCAACAACACGCAAAAGGACGTGTCGGTCATGAACGCCGAGTCCAAGTTCCTGCCGACGCTGCTCGAGGTGCATGCCAAGTTCCCCAAACTCAGGATCGTGCTCGAGCACGTCACGACGGCGGACGCCTGTGACGCGGTGCGCAGCTGCGGCCCCACCGTCGCCGGCACCATCACGGCCCACCACCTGTCTCTCGTCATCGACCAGGCGGTCGGCGACGTCTTCTGCTACTGCAAGCCGGTGGCCAAGTCGCCCGAGGACCGGCGCGCTCTGCTCAACGCGCTCGTGACGAGCAACGGAAAGTTCTTCCTCGGCACCGACAGCGCCCGTAAGCCTCCCCTCCCCTCCCCTTTGCTAGAGCGAAAAGAAAGATGTGGTTTTTGGGCTTTTTATGCTGACGAGATGCAGCACATGACATCAGCGCCAAGAAGGGCAAGGGCAGTGCGGCCGCAGGTGTCTTCACGCAACCCCACGCGTCTCAGTACATCCTGACGGCCCTGGAGGAGGGCATCGCGCGGGAGGACATCAAGGATGAGCAGGTGACCGAGGAAGTTCTCCGGGGCTTCTTGAGCGAGTGGGGACGCAAGTTCTACGGCGTTGAACCGGCGACGCAGAAGATCGTGCTTACCAAGGGCGACAAGGTCATCCCCGAGTCCGTCAAGGACGCAGGCGTCGAGGTTGTGCATTACCGGGCTGGCACCAAGACCTGGGACTTGAAGTGGCAGTAGGATTTGCATCGTTGGGGGGGGTTCAGAACTCGGGGTTGAGTCAAAAAAGGGGGTAAAATGTGTTTGTGAGGAAATACCTGGGCGAGGGGCGAGACATGAGGATCCAAGACTCATTAAAACGAAACACTCAACAACACCGGAAAGAGGTGCCTGTGTCAAAACGAGAGCAGGACAGGTACGTCACATGTTGACATGAGACGATGTTTTGCAGGGGTAACCAAAAGTTCAAATCTCGGCTACGTGGTATGGTATGGGAGGTCAAGACTTCTTGATTTCGCTCCAGAGGAACCAAGAGTCGAAGCTCTGCGCAGCACAGCAACATGAGAAGGGACAGACTAGTGATTCGAATACTAGCATGGGCATTGTAGTGGTCCCGTTGATGCCAATGAACCTGCGGTCAGTCGCGCCATCCTAAGAAAGTCGATCAGAACGGGAGGCTGGGATTTGCAGCTGCAGTTGCTGCAGGCCTGCGCACTGGCACCCGAGCAGTCAGTTGAGTGACAGCATAGCCGCGAGCCCCCCTCCCCCCCCCCTCTTTCCCTTCCCTCCCGCCAACGCTAGGTCCCGATGCCGGTGCCGCCCACCCTGAGTGTTACTTGCCGCCGCAAAATCTGAACGGCGGCAGGGATCCCGCGTGTTCGCCCCACCGAACCTTCTCGAACCGGTCAGTTGGGAGCACACTTGTGGGACGGTTTCCTACAAAGGCCTCGATACAGACATGCCAATATCGAGTTGGAGGGGAGGTTAGAAAGGGGATCCTGGCAACACCTGTGGCAAGCCTCACGCTCACCTTGACTGATATCGATGCCATCCAGCATGACATGTCCTTCATTGGGTGTCTAGACACAGGGAAAATCCAGTGGCTAGGATATGCACATGCACAGCCAGTGCTAGGCTGTATTTTTTGTGCTCATCCACCGTTGTGCATAGAGACAGGTCACAAGTTCTTTGCCTATTGGTTCTGGCGGCGGCGGCTCGTCGTTGACTCTCTCCGTGGGGTTGACCAGTAAAGTAGAGGATACCTGTCCTAAAGCCGACGCCACATGCGGTCCAGATGTACTGAGTACCCCACCCTCGAAACCTCCCAGCCCGTCGCTTTTTCTCGTCACCCAACGCAACGCCCACTGAAAGCCCCCCTGACGCCCAATGAACCAGGCAGTCCGTGTGCACATCACCAGGAGGCAACTTTGTCCAGATTGATGTGCAAAAGCTGATAAACCCCAGCAGAGAGCCAACTGTCTGTCCTTGCGCTGTCTTGCCTTTTGCTTTCCGTCTTGTCTGGTCTCATCTGGTCTCGTGTCGTCTGTGCTATTTTCATGTCCTAAAAGGAACCAGTTTTCATTTCGGATTTTCGGTCGACGGAGCAAACGGAGCAGCATACATTTCATCATCAGCGTCTTTGTGCAAACGACATTGGTACAGAGCAGTCCCCCCTTCCGGGCCCTGCTGCCTTGTCGCCTCCAGCAAGCTGCCATTTCCCTCTTCACTCACATTTTGTCGTTTGGACCCTGAACGTCACAATCACGGTCGAGTCGCAGTCGCAGTCACAGCCACAACTCAAACCACACACACGCACACACACCCCCCAGCTCAGCCCAGCCCAGCCCTGGCGCCATCATTTGCAATCGCAGAGCACCCGAGCACGAACCGGGGACAGCAGAGGACAGGCCCAGGCCAGCCAGGCAGACAGAAGGCGCGAGCAGCAATTTCTCGGCTCGTCCGTGCCAAACCAGTCCCCGTCCCCTTCTTTCCTCTTCACTTCTTGTCATTTTCCTTCCAGCTTCTGGACACTCTTGAAACAGAACATTTAGCTCTTCCGACTGCATCGGCGTTACCTTGCGTCACAACCTGGTCGCCACACGTTTGGTCCCACAGCAAAAGAGAGAGAGAGAGAGAGGGAGAAAGAATCTGAAGGGGGAAAAACAGGACCGTACACCCACACAGTACTGCACCGGGCTTCCGACATCAGAGTCGCACGCCAACTACCTCTTCTACAAGAATACCCTTATCTCGAGGCGCTGCATGATTCGGGATCGGCCTCGCCCACCACCGGTCGCCCACTTTACCTAATTAACCAGAACCCACCGGAAGTGTTCAAAGTCTCCAGCGCTGGACTCGATGAAGCTGTTCGCCAAAAAGACGTCGTCTTCCAAAAAACCTGTCACCAGTCAGAACTCCCACGAAGAAGAGGAATTTCACAACTTACCTCACCGTTCCGCCTCCTCCTCGCCCACCAAGTCTTCTTCCCCCACCAAATCCCCAACTAAGCCTACCTATTCCAGACGCAGCACCAGGCCTCCCTCGCCTGGCGGGCGCGAGACTAAATCGCGATCTTCTCGGCCCTTCGGTCGTCATTCCACAGACCCCGGATCCTCCTCCTCCTCCTCACGCCGTCACAAGGTCGACCCCAACACCCATCCTCTCAACCTCCCCCCTGAAGAGAGAAAGAGACTGTCTGCACTTTCCGCCATGAGCCGCAGCAACTCCATGGACATCGACCGCGAGTCGACCGGCGCTGCTTCTTCACCCCCCGCAGCGCCCACGCCCACAGCCCAAACCGCCTTCTCCGTCCCGATCCCCAACATCAACACCGCCGTCAACGGCAACGAGAATGGCAACGATGAAGATGCGCCCATGCCGCCCCCGCACAGGTCTAACCCCTCCAGCCCTGTCCCCACTGCAGAGGACGAGGCCGAGGCTTACAAGGCTGCGGGCAACAAGTTCTTCAAGGAGAAGGACTACAAGAACGCCATTCTTCAGTACTCCAAAGGTATGTAACCCCATTCGCCTAGAAATTTGCGTGAGAACCACATGCTAATTTTTTTTTTCAAACAGCCGTCGAGATGATTCCCGACTCGGCTACCTATCTCAGCAATCGTGCCGCTGCTTACATGTCTAACGGCAACTACGAAGCAGCCCTCGAAGACTGCCTACGGGCCGTCGACCTGGACGGCCAGAATCCCAAGGTCCTCCTGCGTCTCGCGCGCATCTATACCAGCCTCGGTCAGCCTGAGGAGGCCATTCTGACGTTCGGCCGCATCCAGCCGGCGCCGTCTGCTAAGGACATGGCGCCCGCCAAGGAGATGCTGCACCACATTACCGCAGCCAAGAATGCCCTTGCTAGCGGCACTGCCGGCTCTATGGTCCTGCACGCTCTCGACCAGGCCGAGCGCCAGCTCGGCTACACCGCACCGAAGCCTCGAAAGTGGCAGATTATGCGTGGTGAGGCTCACCTCAAGATGGGTACCGCCAACGCCCTTGGCGAGGCTCAGAACATTGCCATGTCGCTGCTGCGTAACAACAGCCAGGATCCCGAGGCGCTCGTCCTCCGGGGTCGTGCCCTGTACTGTCAGGGTGACAACGACAAGGCCATCAGCCACTTCCGGAAAGCACTCAGTTGCGACCCGGACATGCGTGACGCCGTCAAGTGGTTGAGGGTTGTGCAAAAACTCGAAAGGATGAAGGGAGAAGGTAACGCCGAGTACAAGGCGGGCCAGTGGCAGGCAGCCATTGACAAGTACACTGCCGCTTTAGAGATTGACCCCACCAACAAGGGTACCAACTCGAAGATTCTCCAGAATAGGGCGCTGTGTAGGACAAAGCTCAAGGAGTACGACGCTGCCATTGCCGACTGTGAGAGGGCCGTCCAGCTGGACCCCACCTACACCAAGGCGCGCAAGACAAAGGCCAATGCGCTGGGCTCTGCGGAGAGGTGGGAGGATGCCGTCAAGGAGTGGAAGTCAATCCAAGAGCTCGACCCCGAGGATCGCACCATTGCCAAGGAGATTCGCAAGGCCGAACTGGAGCTGAAGAAGAGCAAGCGCAAGGATTACTACAAGATCCTCCAGATCAGCAAGGATGCCGATGATACCCAGATCAAAAAGGCCTACCGCAAGCTGGCCATCGTTCACCATCCTGACAAGAACCCCAACGACGAGCATGCCGCTGAGCGCTTCAAGGATATTGGTGAAGCTTATGAGACTCTGAGCGACTCTCAGTATGTCTTCCCCTCCTCTCTCTGAATTTTCAAGTTGAAGAAGCGTGTGCTGACCTGTGCAGAAAACGTGCGGCCTATGACAATGGCGATGATCTGATGGATCCCAATGACATGTTCGGCGGCGGCGGCGGCATGCACGGCGGCATGGGTGGTATGCACGGCGGCATCGACCCTGAGATGCTCTTTAACATGATGGGTGGCATGGGTGGCGGTGGTGGTGGCGGCGGCGGCGGGTTCCCCGGAGGTGGTGGTTTCCCCGGCGGTGGCACGTTCTCCTTCGCCGACGGGTCCAGCGGTCGCCAGCGCCCTGGCTTCAGCGGACGTGGCTTCAACTTCTCCACCTGACAACCCGACTCTGATCAGGGCGAGGAAGACGAGGAAGACGAGACGAGATCGGAGGACGATGGCGACAGCGACAGCTCGCAGCCTGCCGGTAACGACGTCCACGAGAAGCTACGAGACCACATGCAGCGTCGCCATGACGAACAAGACGAACTTGTCGGGAAACTGCGCCAGTACGGCATCTTGGCGCTTGCGGCAGTCGTGCTGCTCCCGCCGTCACTGTTGGTGCTGATGGCTGCTATGGCAGCAACTGTATACCTTGCTCTGCGCGCCGCTCAGCACCTCGGCCGTCGACAGCAGGTCTGAGGCGCTGCGGCGGCGTCAAATCGCGACATGGGACGTCCTGGACGGGATCGGAACTAATGAGGCGAACCGGGGCAACGAGGTATCGTGCGTTGGTGCGCACGACCATCCACCTGGCCACCCTCTATCATCTGCATAATCACCGGTGGCGTTCCGAGGGTTCGTGTGTTTTTGGTCTGCTATTTTCCTTATTTTTTCCATAGAGCCACGGGACTACGGTCCCGTGTTCGGGGAGGGTGGTCCGGGGGGACGTTCCTTGAAAGACATACCCGCGCATTAGACTGGTTCCGTCAGATCGGGCTGGGCCGCTGTAGCTTTGAATCCATATGGAAAGCGACTTGTCATTTTGCTTCTTCAAAATCATATATAGTGGTGTCTCCTACTCCGTACTCATCCATGGGTATATCCTCCGCTCTGCCTAGCCCTCGAGCCTGCCGCGCCCCGTTTCTAGAGCTTCTAACAGGGCGCGCTGGCATTGCGAACCTGATCGTATCCTCCTGTCCGCTTATCACAACCTGTTCTCCCCCCTCCCCCCGCTTGCCTCCTACGATCTAGCATGTCAGATCAAGCACCCTCCCTCTTGACGGGACTCGTCATCTCCACAACCCTCGCAACATCCTCGGCCACCTCGGGCATGGCGCTCCTCATCTCCCCAGCGAGCACGTCCCTCAACTGCGCAAACGCGCCCATCTTGCCCCGCATGAGCTGGTTGCCCCGCCGCACGAGCTCGACAAACTCGCGCGTGTAAATGTCCGGGTTGCGCCCGTTCTCGACGTACTGCACGAGCTCGGGCGGAATGTTGGGCAGCGTGCCCGGCGTGACGTGGCGGGCCGGGTCGTGGAGCGGCACGCCGGGCGGCATGCCGAGCTGGTCCTGGGCGTTGGGCGGCACGCCGTCCGGGGTCGGCGGGGCGCCGGCGACGGCGGTCGTGTGGACGGCCTGCAGGGAGGCGGAGAGCGTTTGGAGCGACGAGGTGAGGGCCGTGTGGGACGAGTGTGTTGGCGTCGTCGTGTACATGGTGATCTGGAGCATGATCTGGTAGAGGTCTTGGATCGTGTCCTTGAGCTGTTCTGTTGAAGGAGGGTCAGTATGAGGAGGTAGGCCTTTGGGTGGGTGTGCCAGGGGGAGAAGGGGACGAACGCTCAAGGAGTTCTTGGGGGTTGTTTTCCACTGGAGCCATGGTTACGGCTGTGTTTTTGTTTGCGACTGTAAGTTGGTGATCCTTGATCCCTATGCACTGGAGGTGGTTCTGAGGCTCGATTTTCGCAAGAGTTACGAGTAAGACCCGAGACTGGTGGTAGTCAATGGTTGAGAGCGACGTGGTGGTCCAATGTGTAGTGAGGCGGGATGCGACAATGATGGGCCTAGACTGACCTCAGAGGAAGGTGGCACTCCTATCGATAAGTGTACATGTAAGATGTGCATGACTAAGCGCAACGACCCCTTTCGACCTCGCTGAAGCGAAGAAGATGGCATCACATCGATTTCAACAAGGCTTTACTTTTCTATTCATACTTCAAACCGGGGGCACCCGTCAAGTTTAACCTGTAGCGTCCACTTCGTAGGCTAATTGTATTGCTCAACAGTCCCTGTTTCGCCCAAATGATACTATCTAGAAATAGTCATCTATCGGGTTCCCTGCTGCTTCCCCGAAAACAACCGCCTCAACTCATCTCGTAAGTGCCGTCTGTCTCGCATATTCGGCTGTTGTTCTGGTCCCGTGGAATGCATAGAGCCGGCACCATCAACAGCACTCTGTCTCTTGCAGTCCGAGTTGGGCACTTGATCACCTGCAGCCCTTTGGATCGCCACTCTGCTCCGCAAGACCGTGTCTTGAATACGCGAGGGCTGCAGCACAGTAGTTGTCGGCCCATAGGCGCTACTAGGATCCGTCGAGATGACTGGGGCTGCTACGCTCTCTATTCTCTGCGCCTCAGTCGCCGCTGTCGGTTTGATTGTGATTGTCAGAGGCCTTGGAGATGGTGACCTGATGGGTCGATATTTCTCAAGATACTCCGAGGATAGCGGTGGCGGGGTACGAGCCGTTGGCCGTACGGTGTCATGTTTATGAGATGAAGCAACGGCTGGCGCAGACAGCGGGGGGCGGGTTTGAGTTATCTGTGGAGGAAGCTCATCGAAAGCAACATGACAGCTGCGCATAGTGCCCGCAAGGCCAGGCTGAGGCCGGCATGGCAGAGTAGCAATCTCGTTATGCTCTTCGAAAGAAAACTCCGGGGGTGTAGCGTAGGCTGAAGACGCCGAGACCTCCGTCACAGTTCTCTGGTGTCCTTGAATGTAGGCCATCCGCGAGGAGGGTCGTTTCAGGGGTTCGTGGCTGACCCATGAACTCGGTGTATGACGCTTCATGTGATCCTCAACAGTTCTTGGATGGAAGTCTGTGATGCTGCCTCCAGATGACGTCCTTGCCAATGAAGAGACTCTGGGAGAAAGAGACGGCGGAGTTGAGGCTGGGTTGAACATCTTCTGAGGGCAAACCGTCGAGATGCTTGAGGATGTTCGCGTCCGTTCTGGAAGTGGACCCAATTGCTGAGTTGATGTCGACGATACGCGCGAAGGGGAAATAGGAGTAGATTGTCGCGATGCATCTGGGGAGTACTGGCGACGGTTACCAGGAAGCATCTGCATCCAGCGTGGGATCGGCTTCGTAGGGCTGGGTTTGAAGGCGGGCTCGCCCAGAGGGTCGTTCATAGACACGTAAATAGTGGAATTTGGTGGTTCAATGACATCGGTGGCGTCTCTGTGCTGGTTTTTTTCGTGTTTCGTGACGCTGGATATCGCTCTTGTGGCTCGCAGCGAGCGCGAGCGGTAGGCAGGGCTCTCGGGCTGAGGGGCATCAGCACTCAACCATCGTCAGCCGTGACAAGTATTGTCAAACTTACTACTGGGGCCCCTAGTTGATGGCTTCCGATCCTCAATGGTAGTGGTTGTCCCTGACTGGCTTCCCATCTTGTTCGTCCTAGCCCGCCGTCCACGCAATCCATTCTTCTCAAGCCCTTCTGCACAACCGCCCGCTCGTCCATCCCATCCAATTCGGCCTCCACGATACAGTGTGCGCAAAGTGGTGGCTCCTCGATCTCCCGTCCACTATTATTTCCCATGCTACCCTTCAAGTCGTCGTCCGAGTGCCCAAAAAGCTCCTCAAGCTTGACTCCTGATGCGATATGCCTGCTCCCACAGAGAAGACATCCGTAGCACGCCCGGTGCCAGAAGCACCATCCAAGACTAACACAGTCTTCCCCGCGCATCACGATCTCCCCGCATACCTAGCATATGGAGAGGTCGATGAGGGCCGCGTAGCATGGCCCGCAGGTAAGGCGGGCAGAGCGGCCAAGGACGTGGGTAGGACCGTCGGTCAAGCGCCAGCAGAAGGTGCATGTGAACGAAGACGAAGAAGAATAGGGAGGTGGCATGGCATTACCAACATGAGTGCCTAGAGAGGTAAGGTCGATATTAGAAGTTTCTAAAACGAATGTATAATGACAATAGCAGCGACAATGATCGTCGAGTACACTATGGAAGACACGGACGTGCTTGGTAGGACTTCAGCATGGACGACCTTGCTGCACGATTCTGATAAGGCGGATGGAGGGTAAGCTGCTGCACCCAGATCCGTCTACGTATTCACCCTGTTACGCTCTCTTCTCCAATGTACCTGCCTCGGCAAAGCAGCTCGACCGCATGCCACGTGGGCATTTGACGAAGGTGCCACCTACCTACCTACCTAGGTAGGTAGGTACTTTGTCCAAGGTTGGAGAGGAAGGTCCCCTCTACGAGATACCTCCCGTCGGCGTCGCCAGACATCATGATGCACACTCTACAGCAAAGTGCAGCCACGACATTCATAGAAGAAAAAGTCGGCCTTTCGATGATCCTACATAACAGTCCGTAACACCGCCCAGAAGCGAAATCCCTGAAACCACCAGCCTCCAGAGGCCCATGATAGTCTTACAAATTCATAATAGCAAGCAAAAACAACCAATCCAGCCGCACAAAAGCCAGGGTAACCATGTCCGGTCATGCCTGGCGATTTTCCAAAGCAGCAAATTAAACGCCTGCCACCATCCTTGGTGGTCTCTTGTGCTGTGTTTCCTTGACTCCGCTTCTACCCTTATGACAGGCATAAGCCCACTGGACTTTTTCTCTTGGCCTCGCATCCTTAGGATCATTCGAAGAATGGTGGCCCGGTACCACAGCATTGTCAGCTCGCAGCACTAAACCCTCATCTCCATTGTGTACAAATACGTCCCATACAACACATTCACTCCTCAGCGACGCAGCTTGGGCTGAGAAAGCATGTGCAAACGGCTCATGCTGATGCCGGCCCGCTTCTTGACAGGGCTGGGCGTTCCCGCCGACACCTTTTGAGGACTGGGAATCGGGGTGCTGCGCGCCAGTTTGGGAGTTCCCAAAACACGAGGGTGGGGTGCAGGTTCAGCCTTGCGCCTCTTGCCACCGCGGTCGGCACCCTCCTGGTCGACATCAGGTTCATCATCTTCGGTGGCCCTGGCACGCTTCTTGTTGGCAAGACCATGGGCAACTCCAGTGAGGATCTTGACGGGCGATTTGTTCTCCTTGTTCGGGTGAGAAGGCTCGACGTGCGTGCGAGCCCGCTTCTCGTTGGGCAGGCCGTGCGGTACACCTTCGAAGACGAGTTTAGCTGGTGTGGTGCCTTCCTTATTCAATACGAATGGCTCTGTGTTGGTGCGCGCTCGCTTTTCGTTGGTTAGACCGTGCTTGATGCCAGCCGTCATGGACTTGACCGGTGTCTTGCTGGTGTGAGTGGCCCGTGGAAGGTCGGCGTTTTCTGGGAAACTACCGGGCATTTCCTCGACTGGAGTGATCGAGGCTCGAACCTGTCGGACACTGAGCTGTCCAGGCGAAGAGCCGAAGCCGGCAGGAGATCCAGTACCGAAGCGAGCAGTGCGTTCGCTACGGAACGTGAAAGCGCCAGGAACAGTAGGAACCTCAGAAGCCTTTTCTTCTCTCTTGTTGGGAGAGGCTGGCAGCGGGCTCTTGATCTCTCCGGCGGCGCCACGACTCTCGGGCTCGTTCATACGGCTCAGAATAGCATCGAGATTGGGGTAGCTGACCTCGCCGCGACTCTTGCTCGGGGTGTCCTTGCTATCGGGCGTAAATTCGACCCGCTTGAATAGCTTCCTGCGCGGCGTGGTAAAAGGTACAGCCGGGAGCGGCTTGTCGAGGATTCGGGGACCAGGTGTCTGCGAAACACCAGCGAAAGGCTGAGGAATTGCACTCTTTGCAGGCTGAGCGGGCGATTTGCCACCGCGCAAAATCGACTTGACACGCTCGAATCTACCAGGGCTCACGATTCGTCGCTTCAGTTCAACAGTCCTCGACAGAGTAGCGAGGTCGTGTGTAGCGGCAGGCTTGGAGGGAGATTTGGTCAGCTCTCCCAGGTCTGTCTTAGTTGTCGACTGTGTCAGGCCACTGAGAGATGCCTTGCTTGGGGACTTGGTCAGAGCAGGCTGGGATATCTTAGGGAGACCCGTCCGGGCCGCCGTGGCCTTGCCGGGGCTCGTCGTTGAAGTCAAAGTGCTGCTTGAACGCGCCAGACTAGCCGAGGCGTTACTGCTAGACGTGGGGCGAGGGAGAGAGCTTCCATCCCTGGAGATTGGTCGGCGGCTGGACGCGTCATCTTCAATCTGCTGTCGAACACGCTTAACCGGGGAGGGTGAGGGTTGAGGCTGAGGCGCAAAGGCACGCAGCTTCGAGGGTGTAGTGCCGAGAGGCTGCTTCTCAGTGCGTTCGTCCAGGTTGGCCTTCGAGGAGGTGCGTTTGAGGCCAGAGACGGCCTGGCTCGGGGTGCTCTGGAGGTCGTTCTTGGAGGGCGACCGGTGGAGGGTCGACTTGGGAGTGTCTTCCAGGTTCGCCTTGGAAGAGGTGCGCTTCAGAGACTTCTTGACAGGCGTGAAGCGACCGGGTTGAGCGCGGAAGGCAGAGGCATGACCCTCAATCGAATCCATCTTTTTAAACTCCTCCATGTGAGCAGCGCTGAAGCGCCCAGACTTGCCTTTGGCTCTGGCAATCTTCCGTCCATTGACTTGTTCATCCAGCTTCTCCAGCTCCCGCTTCGCAACGAGGTCGGCCTTGATCTTGGCTGCCTCTTCACGCAGGTCGGCCATCATGCGCTGAGCATCAGTGCTGAGGCCGGTTTCGCCGGCTGGGCTGGTCACGTTGAACGTGAATGAGGAGGAGGGGACTCCGCTGAGCCTTGACGGTGTGGCCTGCGGGTTCATTGCAGACTTGCCACGGGCGACGTTGGCAGATTTGATGTCCCTGAATCCAAGCCAGGTCTCGGAGGGGCCAGTGGCTGTGGGGTGAACCTTGCTTGGGTGCATTTCGGACATGGGAGGCTTCAGAGCGGACGAGGCAGGTGTGGCAGGTTGAGGGTGTGGCGAGGCGGCGACGCCATCGCGGCTCGTCGATTCCACCTCTTCTGGCGTCTCATCGCGCTCGGTAAGCGACGATAGTTGAGATACTTTCTTGGGCTATAGAGTTGATCATGGTCAGCTGAGGCGGTGAAAGGCGAGGGGGGACGAAGTTTTCGCAACTGCCCAAACAGACCTTTGGCGTTGACGCGCTGGCCAACCGGGCCGAGCGGCGGCGAGGCGGCGACATGGCGATGGTTTCTGGCCTTGGCTTCGGTATCGTGTGAATATGCGATGGTAGGTCCGAAGGTCGTGAGAATAGGCCAGAGTGGAATGAAGTTGGGGGGCCTGATGATGTCAGGTTGGGATGTGTGGTGTTTGATCAGGAACGCGACTGGCTAATTCTGGGATTGTCTAATATCATTGGAGGGGTTTGTTTACCTTCTGTTCGAGGTAAGGCCCAAGCTCCGAGGTGGTCAGTGCGCATTACCGTGAATGTTTGTCTGCACTGTATGCTGGCACGGACTCACTACTCACTAGGTACTCTCGTGACCTGTCACCACCAGTGGACTGTTGGACAGGTTGTGAATTCGACAAGCTGCCATTCATCAGAATTCATCATCCGCCTTCTACCAGAAACGACAATCGTCACACATAGCTCGGTCCTCTACTTTGATGTGAATTACAAACAACGTTTCTACCTCCTCATGATGTAATTCCGTGCATCTGGACCACTCATGATCGGATTTACAGGCTTCTGAGCCTTAATCATCATTACCTCTGGGATGGCAAGTGAAGTGCAATGATCCACCATCACACGTTCGTCTCGATAACCCGAGCCATGCTACTCATGTTGGTGGCATTGCTACCGCAAGACTCCTCGACCATCTCCCCAGAGTTTCTCCCCGCAGAATTTGTGATTCCCGAAACTACCCCAGTCGAAACCCCAGGCATTCAACCAAATATCAACTTATTCGACTTTTTCGCGGACGCCGGCTCTGTTACAACCCTTAGCGTCTCGTGTCGCCCCACGGCATTGACAATGACCTCCAATCCTTTTCACGACGTCGCCGGGATGATCCGTCTGAACATGTAAAACACGAGTCAAGTCTCTGAGAAACGACGTTCTAGATGCCTTGAAAAACGCCTTATCAGGCAAGCCCGGCACGCATCTTCCCCGCGAAAAGCCGATAATGCATGGCTGAAAGTTTCCGACATGTTACGCGGTCACATCAGGCACACAAGCCAACGCAGGACATCGTCAAGAGAACCGTACGAGACGGAGAATATACGCAAGAGCCGGAATCGCTGAGGTCGGGGGTCACCCTTGCATCGAAGCTAGAAATTTTCTGGAAGGCCGCCAAAGGTGCGAGATCCCCCAGTACCCTGGCAGGCCCCTGGGTGACGCTAAAACATGCGAAGGCAACCCGGGGCGGTCAGGCTTGTCAGCTGGACGCAGCCACCAGCAGCCCATCTCTCATCTGTCCCATTCATCGACCCAGCCAGCGGCCTCTGAAGATGGCTCAGCGAAGGAGGATGTGCGTTTCTCGCGTGCAACACTGTAACTTTGGCTGGCCGCGGAAGAGAGACAAGCGTGCAAAAAGTTTTATGACACTAGATCAACCCGATCAGACCTTCCAAAACGTGTTGGTACGGTCCGTCGGTGTCTGGTCAAGTTAGCCGATCATCCCCTCCTGAGCTCTCCGAGGAGATGCGAGACCACACGTGCACTGGACCTGACAGCGCTGGGGGGTTTTCTATGGGTTTTTTTTTCCCTCGTTTAAAGTTATACTCCGGCCTGAAGTGTTGTGTTCTCCCTGCCTCGCGTCCGGGGTTTGGCCCTCATTATTGCGCTCTCTTGATGTTGCAAAGTAAACTTGCTAGGCTGGCGGTCCAGCGCACTTTGTGGTATTTGAACTCGACCAGAGTGACGCACATCTCGGACATGCGTAGACGCTGGCAAGGATGTCAAGCTCGCCAGAACAGCCAGGAACGGGGACATGAGGCGCGGCCCCGGTCAAACCCTGCAAAATGGCGAAAGGCGGATGGGGGTGCATTTTAAGCGGGGGACATGGACCCCCAATTAATGAAGCCCCAGATTGATTTCATCAGGTGATCGCTTCATTTCACCGGGACCCGAGACAGACGGTCGTACTCAGACAAGAGATCTCGAGACAGTGAGACAGACGAGTCCTGCTCAGCGCTGATGACAATGATAAGGCCATGGTCAACCTTCTCTGGTGAACATGTATCTCGTTATCAACGGCCGATCTGCTGTCTGCTTCAAGCTTCAGCTGGCCTTGGCAGTACAAGAAGCAAGGCAGGACGTGGGATTTTAACACAGCAACAAGGCCGAGTGTAATCATGGGCACAAGGCCTGGTCCTGTGGAGAAGACGACTGAATGTGAGGCCGCGGTCCCATCGTCCGTGGACAGACGAACAAACACACGCACCGTGTGCTGTGTGATCGCCTAGTTTGTGTGGGCACCGCTGAAACTCGCCAGTGCGAAGCGAATGCCCCACGTGAAGGGATCGTGAGCTCTGCTTGTGTCGCTCAATCAGCCAGCCTCGCTCGACCCTCGACTGAGAAGCCTCGGTGGTTCTCAGTTCGTGCCCGCCGATCCACCTGCTTCAAGGACGGGCTCGTGCTAAATAGGAGGCAGCCTGTAGGCCTGGTTCTGGGGCAAAGTAGACGCTCTGCAGATGCGAGGTTCTTCATCTCAGGGTGATGATGAGTGAGTGCTCTCTGGCTGCTTCAGCTCTCTGGCTGCTTCACAGTGTTGTTTTGTCCTCCCTCGAGTGGGCGGGGTCTGCTCGTTCATTCCATCCATATTGGGACACACCAACGTGATGGCGCCCTGGGACTGGGACAGCAACAGCCAGCAGAGAGATTGTGGAGGTGGTCACGATGGTACGCCTTGCCGGTGCCCACGTCACTCCTCCTTTGCGCTCCCACCCTCCCCTCCCCCTTCGCCTTATCCCTCCCTCGTCCATTCCAATCCATGCCGCAGGTCGGGTTGGACAAGGCGAAATCAATGATGGTTGTCATCCTACATGGATTGCTGATTGTGATGCCCTCGCAATCAGATTGCCCACGCTCAGCTCGAGGGCATTGGTGAAATAGGCCAAGAGCAAGGCACTACCAAGCCGTGCTAGGCCAAGCCAGGTTGACTCGAGCAAGCGCCTCCCCTCATGCATGGAGCCAGGTAGGTACCTACGACGTTGGCTTGTACGTTGGGGCTGGTGCTCTACTGGCTGCCTACGCATAGGTACCAAGCACCAGCACCCAGCACCTCGCCAGCAGAGGCCGAACGGCCAGGCGGAGTGAGCGGGGACCATGGCTGTTTTGACTGGTTCAGGGATGCGCTGAGGACCAGGGGATGAGCGGGGGCCACAGGACGCACAGGAAGGAGGAGAGGAGGGGGGGGGGAGGGGGGTCTAGGTAAAGGTGAGGTTAGCTGGGCGGGCTCGCAGGAACAGTAGCAAAGGAGGGCAGGCACCCCCGAGCAACCCCCAAATCTTTTTTTCATTACATAAAAGCCCCCCGGGCCTCTTTCATTTCCTTACACACCGCAACCTCTCATCGCTTGCATCTCTTATCTCTGGGCTGGCCAAAACCATTCAATTGTCCATTCAACTGCTGTTCTCTCGCCCGTTGCGCCCGCTGCCATCCTCTTCGCCCCCCGAGCCCCCAGGCACGAGAGGTACCAGAGGCACAAGCCGTACTCTATTTTGCGGCTCCGAGATCTCAACCGTCCTACCGGTGCCCATTTGCGGGCGCAAACACGCACTACCCTCCCCTTGTCTGTCATCTCTATCGCCCGCCCGGACGCACACAGCAGTACCGCTTTCCATCTCGTTGCGCCCGCAGCGACGCACCAACCCTTCCCCAAACCACCGCGTTTCCACCATCCAGAGCTTCAATCCGCGTCCAGTGTGGAACGCTGCGACGTCACAGCTGCCCGTTTTGCTTGCTTGACAGCCTGGGGTGCTTTGCTGCCAAGCGGCAATCGCCTCTGTGGTCCCCGTACCCCAGATTCTCGTCCCAGCTTCTAGAAGAGGAGAGGCATGGCAGAGAACATGTCCATCGACAAGCACGACGCCGTCGACGGCGACACGCCCGAGTCCCGAGGCTCCAGCCTCGAGGCCGACCACCATGCTTCTGCCAACAACGCCAACAACGCCGCTGGTAATGCCTCTCAGGAGAACCAGCAGCCCAAGCGCAAGGGCGGCCGCAAGCCCGTAGGTACCACTTGTCTCTTCTTGTCCAACACCTGTATGCCTCACCCACTACCATGCCTACACCCACCAAGCCATCCATGCAGTCATTCATTCCACCTCCCCATCTGCCCTGCCATTGCAGCGACCCCGCCAGATAGCCACGACATGGAACATCCATCCTCTTACACTTATGCCCAAACCCTTATGCGGTGCCAAGTTCAGCATCAGTATCGCCTGCGACTATCGCCGTCAAGCAGCAGACATCCCGCCGACGACACCTCCCTGATGCCATCCTGGTGCTGGCCCCTTAGCCGTCGCACCATATCACTCCAATCAGATGCTAACCTCCGTCTCAGATCTATGCCACTTCGGAGGAACGCAAGCAGCGTAACCGACAGGCGCAGGCCGCCTTCCGTGAGCGCCGTACTGAGTACATCAAGCAGCTCGAGGAGGCCATTCGCGTCCATGAGTCGAACCTTCACAACCTGCAGGCTGCTCACCGTACTGCTGCTGATGAATGCCTGATGCTTCGCTACAAGAACTCTCTCCTCGAGCGCATCCTGCTCGAGAAGGGCATCGACGTTCAAGCCGAGCTCCGCGCCAAGACTGGCAGCCCTAACCTGGGCCCTACCCATGTTCCCCAGAACATGGTACAGCCGCCACCGATCCAGCGCGCCATCATGGGCAGGCACCAAGCTCGGAGATCCAACTCGAGTATTGCTCCGAAACTGGAGCCTGGTATCGGGGCCCTACCCCCGCTCCACGCTCACACCTCGACGGCATCACCCAAGAGCCGCCCGACGCCTTCGTCGCACGCCAACTCGCCCACCGGAACCGCATCCGTCTTTGGCGGCCCTTCGGCCGTCTCTCCTGCCGCGTCTGACCACGCTCCCCGGATGGCTGGCGCGATGAAGTCGCACATCAGCCCTCTGGCGCCCATGAACCCTGCCACTCGGGCGCACATGATGTCGAGTGGTCCCGCTCGCGTCGGTACCGGAGCTCAGTACTATCCTACGCCGGCATTCCAGAACCACATTGAACAGCTTGGTAAGGCATTTTTCTGCATTGCATCACTTCGAACTATGGCTAACCACCGACCTCACTGCAGAGCAAGAATATGATGCTCCGGCTGACATGGTCGACGATTCGGAGATGGACACTCCGAGCGGCCCGGGGCCTTACCCCGCGCAGTATCAAGACGGCCAACCATCAATGGTGACCTCGCCTAACGGCGCACACAACGGCCATCACGTTACGCAAGGCGAGGCTGTCCAGTCGTCTCAGGCACCACACGGCGCATATCCTTCCATGACTCAGCTTCTCGACAACGGAGGCGATTGGGACCCCTTTGGTCTCAGCGCGAGCATGGCCTTCCCCACGCAATTCTCCTTCGACACTAGCAATATGAGGTAGAGGGGTCCGTTGGACCTCTACGACCTCAGCGAGCCCGACCTGGTCCCTGGCTCGTCGGGCAAGCTCAGATACTCTTCTTCTTATCTTATTTGGGGCGGATGATTTACGGCGAACGAAAAAGTTGATACCCAGGGCGGCATTTCATGACAGCGTCGAGACGAATTCTTACGACAGAGCCAACGGCGATAACGGCTCCCTTAATTTCCACGGTACGGAGAAGCCCAGATATGGGCTCTCGTGGTATTCGTTCAGGACACGACTTTACATGGCGCAGGCGAAATCACTTCTTACTTCACCCGGGAGAAGTTGCGAAAACGACTCTCGAGACACAGATGAGCGACAGATGGCGGTTGGCGGTAGTGCCCATGTCGGCGGGGGGTGTGCGGCGGCGGCTTGGCATCTGTCTTCGGATTTTGTATAACCATTTTTTGTGCTTTTTCTGATTTTGAACTGCTTTACCCGGCGTTGGTGGATATCACAAAAGTGGCTTTCTCAAATCCCTTCGAAACGGGGGGAATTCTCGAACAAACAACAAACAAACAAACAACAAACCACATTCAACCCCCATAGTTAGTCTATTCGTCATTTTGACGCTATATTATCTTCGAGTCTACAGCGCTAGCTGGGCCGAACATTGCGAATGGAACATGCATAGTATCCATCAAAACTCCGTCCTTGGCCGTCCATCCACCCTCATACACGAGCCCCGCCTCCAGGTTTCCAGCAAGGTTCTTACCTACGTTAAACGTAATAAAGTAAATGAGAGGGTCTGGCCACAAGTACTAAACACTTTCAGTGTCTGATCACGTCACAACCAGGAACGCTGGCGATCTCCCATCAGACGCATCACATTTGTGGTCAAATTCTGCCGGGAGACCCCCCCCCCCTCCCTTGGGAAAGCAGTCCCCAAGGGGGGGACGTAATCAGACGGACCACCAAGGCGCTGAGACAGTGAAAGCGACTGCTTCTGACTCGAGCGGGCGGGACATCGTGAGATTTGGGGCTCGTTTCCTGAGCGGAGGAGAACGGGGCGGGGGGGAGATATCGTGCGTTCCAAGCGGAAGGCATTGCTGAGCTGGTATGAAGGAGCCCCGGCCCAAGCCCTCCCTTTTCTCCTCCATCAGCAACTCACGATCCTGAGCCCATCGTCGCAGCGTGAGCCATGCCACTGCTTGTCTTGTCCTTTGGCCCTCCTGGCCGGCCGCCAGGACAGGAAAATGCTTGTCTACTGGAGCTGGACCTTTTTGGGCGAAGATTGACGTCTTGACAGGTCAATCAAGCCTTTTGCACTTGGCGCAACCGTTCCAACTCTTTCTTGGTCATCTTTCAGCGGGAGTTCTTCTCCTTTTCTTTCATATTGATCTATTTACCTGCAACCGTCTGTCCAGCGCCTGCTCGGAGATCATGCACTTACCGACCATGCCGCTCTTTCTTCCATCAGTCTCGGATGGCAGGTTGAGAGGGCGCAAGAATTGTGTAGCGCCGGGCGGGCAGGAAGCGGGGGTGTGCGGATAATGATGATGCGGTGGGGACCGGCGGGGCGCGAGAGCGCGCCCTGTAGGAGGATCCGGGATCGGAGGGCGGGCATCATGGCGCTAATGCACGATGTGCTCTTTTGGATCCGGATGAGGGATAGCGGGGTGCCGACAGGGGGTTCATGTCACCAGGGGGTGAGGTCCCGTCTGGTCCGAGACGGGCACTGGCGGAGGTTGTGTGGAGGTGTTGGGAGTTGGAGGTTATGGGCCGGTTGGAGTACGAGTTACGTGTTGGAGGTTCTGAGTTGTGATGGGTTTACAAATGTCAGAGGCAAACCTGTCCAATCCTTCTCAAAAAATCTGCTTTCCTTGTTTTTACAAAGTGATTTATGCATCGAAGTTTTCTCTGTCATGCAGGTCGGGGAGCGCGGCATGATGGTGTGTATGAGAAGATGGCGAAATGCCTTGGCAGTTGTGTCTTGGGTGTGCTGGAGGAAGCTCGGTGTGTTATGAACAGAGCGGGTTTCCGCTTTACCATTCCGCTCAATGGACGCTCGGAAGACCAGTTATTTGCCTCCCTTACACAACGGCCGCTGCTCTGGTGTCCGGGGAGTTTCTTGATAGGCAGCGTCATCGTGTGACGCGGCGAGCCGTGGACGTGTCCAGATTGGCTGGTACGATCACTGGTGTGGTTCTCGAAACAGCGTAAGGAGTTTTCCTCGCTGTACGCAATGAACCTCGCGTTTTTCGTCAGCAAGTGGCTATCACATGTTGAGAACAGCGTAGAGTCACTGGGACGTGTGCCGACTTTACCACGTCCTGAAGGTGTCACTGGGGAATGCTGTCTTATCGACCTCCCAATGTACACAATACCTACACAGTCCTGCTACGACCTGAAAACACATCGTGGCAGTGAGTGAAATTATGGGAGATTCATTCTCTCTAACCTCATTGACCTTGTTGAAATCATGGATCTCCCAAAGCAGTCTCCACGAGTACCGAAGTCAAAGTGCTTACGCTTGTCCTCCCATCACCCAGCGCGCCGACGGTTATGGATTTCACGTCACAAAGAAACCAAGTCAAGGAAGCAGAGTCAGTTGTAAGGTTAATCATAGTACACCCACAACATAAGTGCAGCAGAACTGCAGTCCCAGAAAGCATCTGACGATGCACCTATACTGTCGGTGTCGCATCGAAACTCAAACTCACCACAGCATCGTCATGTACACCGTCGTACTCCCTGCAGCGTGGCTGAACGCGGGCCTGTCATCGAAGGCCAGCATTCACACTCAACGCGATAGCTTGTTACGAGCAATAGTCTGCGGAACAGTTAGGCGAGTCACGGTCGAGAACCGGTAGGCCTTAAGCTCTCGTTATACCTGGCACCCTCTTTGGTTTACGATGCAGCAAACGGGCCAATATTCTGCGCTTCGCCCGACGGGCTTCTATGGCTTCTACAGATCATGCGACCTGATGGACAGAGGGATATGGATAGTCAACACAAGAAAGTGAGACACAGTAAGGCCATGATCCTGGCAGTGTTGATGTCACGATCACCAAGACTGCTTACCCCATGTCAAATGTCGTTCGACAAGGAACGGCATATACATGTGGCCTTGGTTCGAGCTATATCTAGTGGGTGACTTAGTCGAACAAGCTCACGCGTCCGAACAGCTACGTCTTTCTTACAGCATCTCGACCACATACTTCATCTACTAGAAGGCTTCCGGTAGCCCGAGGATGAGATTGGAAGAGATCAATGACTTGAGAAAGAGCGAACGAACGAACATGTATTCTCTTCGGAAGACTTGGGGGAAGGCAATTATAATTAAGAAGATCGCGAAAAGCACGCTTGGTGCTCGAAGAGTCTCGTAGTGACTGTACCGCGCAAGTCCTTCTTATTGCCTCGGAGCTTTCAACGTTCACCTGGGGAACGCCCATCCAGGTGCCAACGTAGGCATCTCTTGTAGCAAGTTCCATCCGAAGGTCTGGCTATCGCGGCCTGTTGATTATACTCGCTGGTGCTGCTTTAATCCGGCTGCGAACACCTTCCCAGAGAGTATCGCTCATTCATGCGTGATGAAGGGAGGCAATTTTACTTGCTACATTTGAAAATGGTTATACCCTCCCACGTGATACTCTCGAGGGCGTCCCTTGCAGCGGCCAAATAAACCCTTTCAGGAACTTCAAGACCTCCTGGAGCCAGTGAACTGGTTGAAAATGGTGTACTCATGGCAGAAGCGTACAGAAGACTGATTAGTCTCGTAGCCAACCAGGTAAAGGGGACTCGAGCGCACGCAACATGGACAGGCCAGATAAGCCTAATATTACCAGTTCAGTCGCCAGCAGGGTTGACGAGCTGCCTCTTCGATACGAATGGCAGTAGGCATTAATGAAAGTCAACCCCGGCTTCACTGAGCCCCATGAGATCAGCCTCCATCACTTGGGAGGCGAACTTCCCCAAAGTGATCCGTGGCGGGCTGTGGAGAAGATGGGATTGGCTGAGAAGTTGCATTGGCCATCGGCAGTTGGCGTCCAGGGCCTAAGCTTGCAGCTTGCAGCTACACCTCGGTCCAGGGTCGAGTCTGGCTTAGACAAGCGGGCCATCAGGAAGCCAGGCTGACGCCTCGGAATAGTGGCACGCTGAGTCGATCAGCAGGTCGTTGCATGACCGGCTACTGGCGTTAGTTGGGATCATTCTGGTGGGCTGACTTGGCAGATGATGCCACTGAAAGATGACGTCCGGGTGCGGTGCTGACCAGGTGCGGAGCTGGAGCTCAGTTCCAACCTGAAATGGGACGGGACCAGCGGCGAAGCCCTCGTCCAGCTGAGTAAGCCAAGAAGCCCCGGTCCCCTGGCTATTGAGCCAATGAGCAGTGATAAACGGAGCGGATCATCATGCTGCCGGAGTCGAACCCTAAGGAATCTCGCGGTGCGATTCACAAGAACCACATTAAGCGAACCCGAAGATGGACCGAATTGGCCCAAGCGGGGGCCTGGCGTCTCTCATTCGCCCAAACAGTGGCTGGCCGTCCCCAGATGGTGCTCGTGCTGGCTGGCTCTGGCTTCGTCCTCGTCGCGCATTTTCTTCACCTCCCGTACATCATCACCAACCACACGCCCTCCCCGACCTCCCGAAGCATCGTCACTGCGCAGTGTCATGGTGGTCTGACCGTGCGATCTTCCCCCAAAATATAAGAAAGACTAGGTCGCTATTGTAAACCACAATCCAGGCGACAAGATGTCGGTCGCAAGCAAGGTATGTGCCATGTCTCTTTTTTTTTCTTCATTCCCACCACCAATCTTCGTTGTCGTGGCCATGTTGAACGATCGTCCACAACGTCGTCCATGACACAACCGACTTGCTTCCACCCTCCAGACACATCATCGATAATGTCTTGGATTTTTATTCATATCCGTTGAACCCTTTCCTCTGCCCGCTCGGCGCTGACTGGAATCCCACAGAACCTCTACGACCTCCTCGGTATGCAGCTCGCGATGCCCACCCGGCCTCTCGTCGTGACATATCAATTGCCTCGAGTCTAACCCTCCTCCACAGGTAACGACGATGGCGATGACACCCCTCGCGCCCCCGTGAAGACCGTCGACAAGCCGGTCGCTCGCACTACTAAGCGCAACGCCGAGCCTGAGGCTCCCGCCCGCCTTCCCGCTGGTGGCGCTGGCAACCGCCGTGGTGGTTCCGGCAACGATGCTGGTATGTTACGCCGCGTGTCCGTCATCATGAACACCAGCTGACGATTATCTGCCAGCTTTCCGCGACCGTAACTCCGGCAGCGACCGCAACCGTGGCCGCTCTACCGAGGAGGCCGCTAAGGGCGGCGCCCGTGGTGGCTACGGCGCCCGTGGCCGTGGTGGTGAGTACATTCCGCTTAGCCCGCCGCCAGGCGCTGGTTCCTTATTGACGGTCCGCTAATGTCTTGCCCAGGCCGTGGTGGTCGCTTCCCTCGCGAGCGTGACGACCGTCACACCAAGGGTCTTCCCAGGTAAACCCAGCATAACGCCCACACATGGTGGCTGACAAAAATACTAACGAACATATTTAGCGGCTCTGAGAAGCAGGCTGCCCAGTCTTGGGGTGCCACTGAGGGCAACGCTGAGCTGAAGGACGAGCAGGCCGGTGATGCCATCGCCGAGGCTGAGAAGAAGGATGCCGCCGCTGAGGATGCCGAGGAGAAGGTCGAGGAGCCTGAGGACAAGCACGTCTCCTACAACGACTACCTCACTCAGCTCGCTGAGAAGAAGGCCGCTCTCGACAGCACCCCTGAGGTCCGCAAGGCCAACGAGGGCTCCTCCAAGAAGTGGGGCGCCACCCAGGAGGTCGTCCGCGATGAGACCGACTACATGCCCGCCTCCAGCGGCAAGGCCAAGCGTGAGCGCACCCAGAAGACCAAGGAGACCATCGACATCGACATGCGCTACGTCGAGCCTGAGCGCCCCCAGCGCGGCGGATTCAGCGGCGAGCGCGGCAGCCGTGGCGGCCGTGGTGGCCGTGGCCGTGGTGACCGCGGTGGCGAGCGTGGCCGTGGCGGTAACTTCCGCGGCGGCGAGCGCGCTGATCGTGGTGGTGGCCGCAAGGAGGCCAACGCCGCCATCAACACCAAGGACGAGTCGGCCTTCCCCAGCCTTGGCGGCAAATAAGCTGCTCGCTCCCCCAAACTCACTTGGGAGCCCACAGAGGCGGCATGAGCAGGTATAAGACGCCCTCTGCTCATTCGGTATGCGCACCTTCTCAGAAACGCCTGGGTTGAAAAGGAGGTTGCGCTTTCATGACCGAAAAGTTTTCCCGCATTGGTTTTCCTCGCAGAGTCGTCAACAGTTCTCTCCTTGAAGGAAATAGGCCGGCATCCTTTCTTTGGTCTCTGGTAGGATCCTGGCTTTCGGTCTCCATCCACCACAGGTACTCTAGGTCTGGTCGGTCTCGTACGGAGAGTTAAAAATGGATCCTTTCTGCTTTCGTAACTTATCTGTCTTCCGCTCCGCTTGATGAATGTCCTTCCTGTCTTGAATGACTGACCAACTTGAATGTCTTCAATACCAACATGTCCAATAACGTGGGCAAGTGGTGACTCGGGTGCAACGTGGAACTTGGTTGCTTTGTAAGGTGGTGTGCTTCGTGATCAACCGTTACATGTGAGGGCGACACTGCGATATACCCCGCCTACCGCTTGACATACGCCAGCGACGCCAGTAGGTACATACATGATGACGAGCAGGCATCGTAGGTTTAATCCAGCTGTCCATACCGTGGTCACACCATCGAGCCTGAGACTACAGTTATCTCCGAGGACCTAAGACTAAGACTAGATCTAGACTCATTTTTCTCTCGCAATGTACGCAGCCGACAAAAACTCTGTTTCCTACTCGGATCGGCGAATGAAATATGCAAGCATAGACGGGTAGTCACGCAACATCACCGAGCTCACCATCAATCACCCTTCAGCCTTACCGCCCCGGCTCGGATATTGAGCACTCGCCGAAACGAAGTACGATGAAGGAACCTGCTTTGTATTTGTATTCGTTTACTTCGTTGATGATACACTAGTATGCTAGCTTTTGTTTATGTCTGGTTGGTGTTGAACACGCGCGCCATGTCTATACCTAGGCTGGCAGCGAGAAGTAATCCATTGAATACCGCCATCATGTAGAAGGGCGCCCCGACAGACGACGAATCAAACAAGTATCCACCCAACTTTGTCAGGAGAAGGATCGCAATGCCGCCGCACCAAGAGTACACGCCGGCAATCGATCCCTTGAGCCGCACGCGAGAAACGACGTCGACGCTTGCCTCGTGTGCTAGCAGCGGCGCATGCTCGCCCTCGGCTTCAAGGGCCTCTGTCGACTCCTCCAATGTGGCAACAACCTGCGTCTTCGGCAGGTCAGCAGTCAACACGCCGCGGCCGAGGGAGCCGAGACTGCAGACGATGGCACCAATCTGGCTGATACCCAGGAGAGCCGCGATGAAGAAAATGGCAGGGCTGCCACCGCGGCCATCGACATTCTTGTATTCAGGGCTCGAGAGCTGGGGAAGAGCGATGTAGCCCACGATACCAAAGACAGTGGCCACGATGATAGGCCAATTAACGGCTCCCGGCCGCCTGGAGAGGTATCCGAAAATAGGTGCGCAGATGAGGCCGCAAAGCTGAGCGACACCTGTAAGGATAGATGCCAAGATGTATGCGGATCGGCATTCCTTCTTCAACTCCGGCGAAGGGTCATGCGGCGACCCTTGGCAGAAACCGTTGCTGATGAAGAACGTGTTCACGAATAGAGGAATGAAGAGAGAGATGGCTACAGTCGAGGCTCTGGCTACGAAGCCGCCGAGGTAGCCTAAGGCGATCTGGGAGTCGCTGAAGCCGAGTGAAACGGAATCTCGGAGGAGGCGGAGATAGGGCAAGACCTTCTGCGAAATATTAGCAAATGAGCCACGGAGATATGTAGCGTTGACTCGACCTACCTGCTTCTCGTGGCTTTCTTGTTCGGTCGGCTCTCCGTCCCTGTTTCGAAGCCCAAGCAACACTCTCCAACCCTTGCCGTCTTCGCCTTGAAGATCGCGGAGGCCAATGAAGACGAATATGGCGACAAAAAAGGAGACAATGCCCACCACGTAGAAGCTGTCTGTGATGGCCTCGGCAGGCGTCACACCGTCGATATCGCCAAAGCGAGCGGGCAGAGGAAGGAACACGGACAGGGCAACCAGCGCCCCGCATCCCGTGAATAATCCAACGAACCCGGCCAGCGCCGAGGGCTTCTCAAGTGTGGAGATGCTGCTCCTCTCCTGACTTGAGACTGCGGTTTCCTCCTCTGTCGGCTCGATCCCCCTGTACCGCTCCGGTGTAATGGTGATGTCCGACTCTAGTGACATGGCTATGCTGTGCCTAGCGTTCTGCGTCGGCTTAAAAAGTGATGTCGTCGATCCATCATCTGCGTCACCGCTCTCGCCTGTCAGAGAAGGTAGGATGGCCGTGACCATGGTCGCCCTGTCTCCTTGGTCAGTATTGACGATGATGAAGCTCCACAGGGTCGAACCTACGCAGCAGTAGCACCGACAGCAAAGAAGATGCGCGCCAGCAGAAGCTGAGGATAGACATTGCCCGCCTGCACAAACAGGAAAAGCGAGAGGCCGATGACCGTGTAGCCGATGACAGCGACCCATCTCACGCCGAGGCGGTCGGAAACGAGACCCCAAACTGGGCAGGCGACGAGGGCGACAATCTCGTCAACGAAACCAAGGGTGCCAACAATATCACCGACGCCATCTTTGACGCCTATGAGGTCTGTAATCACGAAGGAAACGCTACTGTTGAGGAACACCAGGAAAGAGATCGAGAAGAGGGATATGCCGAGGAGGTACGTCACAGCTTGAAGTGGCGTAGTCGAGCTGGCGAACGGGAGGCAGCGCGGGATGAGGGCCATTGTGTTGGGTGTGTTTCAGTTGGGTGAGGTGTCTAGATTGCTTCCTGTCGAGCACGAGGATCTAGAGCTCACATTTCGAAGAGGCCGCGGGTCCTGTTCGGTGTTGGGCTGTGTTTGTTGATGTATTGCAGAATGAGGAGGAGGGATCCTGGTCAATCTAGCTCCGGGATGGTGGAAACACGCATCATCGGTACGCGGGCAGACGCGAGAGCCCGTGCATGGTGGTTGTTAGGTAAGCCCCAGCGCCTCATGACCACCTCCCATTTCACCCACCCCAGCAGAAATAAGGAGGCACTTGACATAAAAATGCATGCCAGCGCGAGTCTTGACAATAATCACCGGGGAGAAAATCCTTAGGCTCTAGTCGTTCATTGCTTGTTCTTGGCCCGCCCTACTGATCCAACATGCCGTCGGAAACCCTTTGCCCTGCCAAAAGCCCTGGTATCAATCAGGTCCCAAATCTTTTACACGTGCAACCAAGCAACCTCAACTCCATGCCAATGTAGCAAACGCCAGTAATCAGCTTCCCGTCTCTCATATCGTCATCTAGCCGTTTACCAAGCCCAGAGCACCTTGTGGTGCAGGATGCGGGCGTCCTGGCGCTCAAACTCGAACGGCGTGACCCACGAATCGTTTGTCGGAAGCTTGGCGAAGACACTGGCTCCCTTCCACACCACCACCTGTTCGTCCATGTCTCTGGCGCTACGACTGATGAGGATGCGATCATGCAGATCCGGACGTCGGACCTTGAGCTTTTCCTCGAGGACTGCTGTGAATTGGGGAATCTTGGAGCCACCGCCAACCACCATGATACTGCCCAACAGATCACGAACCTTCTTCTCGTCGCCCTTGGCAGCGTTATAGATGCTTGTGAGGATAGCCAGATCAAGAGGGGCGGTTGGAAGCACCTCATCACGCTCAACGGCAATCGACTTGGCGCTTCGCGCATGCGCGTCGACGAACATGCCGGCAGGGGGTTGCGAGACGGCTGCTCCGTTAGGCGCCGGTGTCCCTCCGTTCGGGGCTGGGCTGCCATTAATGCCCTCCCTTCCTGCGCCAAAGACGAAGGGCACAGGAGCCGGTGTACTGGCGCCTTCCGGTGCCGGTGATGTGGCTTTAGAACCTCCAGGGGTGCCATTTGTGCCGTTCTCACTGCGTTTGAAGCTATCGAATGGCTGTGGCTTCTCCTTCATGGGAGTGGAGACCTCCGTTTGTGATGCGCCGATGCCGTTCACAGAGCCAGCGGGGGCGGCCGGGGCGGTGGCAGCGTTCAGAGAGGGCTTGACGAGAGCCAGAATGCCAAATTGCGCAGCCGATGTAGGGTCGTCTGGTATTTCGGCCTCGTAAGCGTTGTAGGATCGATCCACGAGCTTGCGACGACCCTTCAGCTTGTGATCGTTGTCGAACAGGTCAGGGTCAAAGAAGCCCATGGGGGCTAGGATGACTTCGTCATACGTCTTGAACTGGTACTTGTGGGTAGGCTGATTTGGTGCACGAAGGTGAAACTGAGCAAGCTGGACAGAAATGTCGGCCTGTGACATGGTGCAGTGTTTGATCTTGAGCTCCTCTGCGAGCAGGAAATCATAGCGCCGCTGCAGATTGATCTCCTGGTATGGAAAGTTGTCGTACAGCATCATCTTGATGAACGTCTCTGTGACATCGTATCCTCCGTACTTGAGGTTAATGCGAGAGTCTTCAATGCAGAGGCCATCCTCAACGCATGAGATGGAGGTCTTCTGCGCACCAACATCCACGACACATGCCTGAGTATATCCGGCACCGAACGTGGCAGCCATGCTCTCTTGGATGAAGCACACCTTGTTGAATTCGAAGCCGATCATGCAAAAGCGAAGCAGCATTTCTACGTACTTCTTGTCGTATAGATCGGGGATCACGAAGACGCAGCTATACTGCGGCCAGACGCTGTTTCGGGAGAGGCCGAGGTCCTGCCGAATGGCCTTTTCGATGACGGTTTCGAAATCGTTGAAAAGGTGCTCCGCGCTTTCGTAGTCTTCCTCGTTAAGCCAGCCATGCCGCATGGGCCACCAGAGTTTGAACTTGGGATCCGAGTCATCAGGAACTCTCAGAGCCTCTCCGCCGATAAAGCATGATGCCGTCGACTGGGGGTCGTCCAAGGTTTTGACATCAGTCCATTCAATTTGCAACGGGTCATTGTGTTGGGGAATGACATCGGGCTCGGTGCGGCGGTTATAGTTGAGAACCAGCTCCTTGGAATTTGGCAGAACTTTGCGCTTGTTGGCACGCATCTCCATCTTGAGGTCGTGACTGCACTTGGTGAACTTCTTGGACCACTCTTCGCCATACTGCTCATCGGCGGTCTGCGCATCGGCCTGACGGCGCGGGATCGAATCGTGGGCGTCAGCCTCGGTTTGTGGGTATTTGCTGGCCAGTGTCATAGGGATCGACTTGGGTAGCGCATCACTCGCGAAGCCGATGCGAAGGTTCTGGCTGCCGGGGTGGATGACGATGACTTTGGAGGGGTCAAGCCCGCCAACTTCGGACGGGGCATCGTCGCCATGAATCTCGGGTATTATGAGAGGAACCTCTGCGTTTCCATTGCGTGCGAGAGCTCGGTCACGGTCCTTTGCGTTCTGGACAAGTCTGTCGCGAGTGGCGTCGTTCTGGAGGCGAGTAGCCAGGATCTGGTCATCGCGCTTCATGTAATCGCTGCGATCATAGACGCGTCAGAAGCTAGGGCCTTCGGGATGATTGGCAAGGAAATACGCACGTGTAGTAGTTCTTCTGGTTGATCGGGGTCGCCTCGGGCCAACTAGACATCTTCATGTTGTTGTCGGTCCTCTCTAGGCCTATGCGCCAGCATTTAGCAACTGGGGACAACAGGTGGAGGGAATGAATCCTCAGACTTACCCTCACGGGCGAGAACCTTCTCGCTAACTTTACCGACCATGGTGGGCGATGTTTTGTAGTCCTTGACTCTCGATTGATTTCTCCCTCGCAAGTTTTGATGTGCCCCCGTTTACTTTGTCGTCCTCCTCTTCTGCCCTCAAGATGGCGCGGACTGGACCGGTGTAAGAAGTCGACTAGTATCAATTCAACCCCTCGAGGGGTTGCGCCGTCTGCAGGAGATGTTGAGGCGGTTGTGATTGCAAGGCTTGCGCGGGCTGGTGTTGAGCAGCTCCAGAAGCGCGGCGTCAATTCTTGAATGTTGAACGGACAGCAACGGCTTCAGCACTTCGTCGGCGGGCCCAGCAACTGCTTCAGTGCTTGAGGTACGTGAGGTGCAGCCTATTGCGATCCCTGTAGAGGATTCATGCGCCATCCACAAACAGTAAAGCTTCTTAGCCACCCGAGCTTTAGCCGTGACTGTACTGTGGCTGTGGCACATGCCGGTGGCCATTCCATCGCTTCCGACTGTTCGAAGGAGCCTCTACTGGCAAGTATCGCAATCTAATAAACGCACTCACGGTCAAGATATAGGGTGCATATCGAGGGGATGTGTGAGCCTTCTTTCCTTGCTTGTCTGGAAAATTATCGGGGTTGAACAGACGTTTTAGGATCTCTCTTAGGTTGTTACTCAGTGACTACCAAATTGCATATTAAACTTTCCTTGCCCGTAATCCTGGTGCACTTCTTGTTCAAAAAAACTTCTTCCAGCAATGAAAGGCCTCTTACATAGATCAAAGGAGGAACTGATGTAGTGTTGTGAGTTTGTGTGATTCTCGTGCATTCACCATATGGACGCCATCGAGATTACGTGGTTCAAAGCCAGTCACCTGACGTCACTTAATGTGACGTCGCCACCTTCCGCATTTAGAGCTATCACAGTAAGGTAGGTAGCCATCAACACTCAGAACGCCTTGTCTCAACAAACTACGTGTCAACGCCGGAGAGTCTACCACTCACGTCTGCCTGCTACACTTCAATATAATACAAGCCACTCGCAAGACCCCACGACAACCCGGAGAATACCAACAAAGTGTATCCACGCCTTAGACACCCTAGATCATTCTGATATCTAGCTTCACACGCTTCTCATTAGGCCACCATTCAACTCATCGCCATGCCTCCAGTACCAATCTACGCATCGAGCCCCATCACCGCCGCCAAGGCTTCGGGCGTAACACCTCAGACTGCGGGCTCAGAGTCCGCCGCAGCCAAATCTTCGGGCCCAGCGCCAACGCCGACGACAGCTCAAGCTTACCCAGCTGCCCAGCCAGGGGCAACACCACACTTGCCCAAGCAGACCGGTGCTCCCTCAGCCTCGTACCTTCCTCCCACTCAGACACAGAACCCGTCAGCCGGACCTCCCGCCCCTCAGCCCGGAGCCGTGCCTTCCGCGTCCGGCCTCCCCCCGCCGCCCAAGACCGGCGAGGCCTATCATCCCCCTCAACAGACACCTGCTCCGCAGGCGACGACTCCATACCCACCCCAAATGTCCATCCCGCCACCTACAACCTCTTACGCAGCAAGCTACGGCTCCTCCACTGCCACGGCCACGGCACCCGGCTATCCCCAGCCTCCCGGCCCCACGCCTCTGCCCTTCGGCAACGACAACGACCGCCTCGCTCACCCGCCGGGCTACCAGCAGAACGCTGGCGCCGCAGACTTTAGTAGTAACCAGCGCGCTGCGCACGCGGCGTCGGTGCGCGAGAGCGGGCCGCTCGACGGATCAGAGGAGGGAGTGTGGGAAGCGGCGAAGAAATGGGCTTCCACAGCAGGCGGGAACCTCGCAGCAGCCGAGACGGAGATTTGGCGCAGGATCAACAAGAACTGAACAGATGATTTGATCTGTCAGTCTTTGCGGCAAGGGATCCGTACAACTCCACGTGGTCCGTGAGAATCGACGGTTCAAGTAGGTGTATCACTGGATGTATTGGTATCATGGCTCAGGTATGCTTTGCTACCCCAGACGAGACCTAGCTGCTAGGTGCTTTGCATTTTAATGAAACGACTTCAAGTCGTGAAGTCCTCGAACGTGGACAATGGCTGTATGATCCGATTTCGTTCGCTGCAACTTG